CGACCTGAAATGATGGTTCGATAAGCTCCTTTTTGGGAATAGATGAAAACCTGAATGGTAGAAAATAAGTCCACCATTCTTCTTAAAAGCATAAATCGTGCTCGCAAAAGAGAAAGAGTATTGTCGGAGGAATAGTCATGAAGCAATAGTGGACTTAAAAAATCTTCAGCCTCGGTTTCTTACGTCGAGGGTTTCCTGTCAGTCTGTTTGTTGTCTCACAAAATTTTGCATTTTTTCAGCCGATTCAAAATATTTAATTCATAAAAAGGTCATAAAAGGTGCGTTATTGAGTTTTATTTTGAAAAACAAATAGAAAAGAAAATTCACTCATTGAACCCCCTCCCCTCTAGATTTCACTGCAGAAGAGAGATTATTTACCAAAGGAGAAAATGCATGATGTTACAAAGCAAGCTTAAAAAATCACGCGGTGCCTCTCATCTTTTAATTTAATTCATTCAGTCTTTCCTGAAAAGAATATCTTTTTGATAGTAAAGTCACCTAACGTATGTTTAAAAACTTATAATAATCATTTGTACGTATCTCTATCAAACGGAACTGTGTGCATTAAAACCATGAGCCCTGAGAACCATAAGAATATGTGCATAACAAGGCTCACGTCATAATGCACAAAGTTCCGTTTGATAGAAATACGTCCATTTATTAGTCTACTATTCGGGATTGAGAGATCATTCATGGGGGAGGAAAAGGAGGCGAATTTGTTGTTAAGAAAGGACCAAAATTGTCTCTTGGAATATTTTCAATTTATGGTTTGAGGATAAAAGTGTTCAAAGCTATTATAGGTTCCAGTGTGTACCTCATTTTGCTGAGAGGAGCTTTAACACTACTTTTGATCTTTCATCATTTGAAAATACCTATACGCGATTGATATTTGCTGAAAAAATGTTTATACTTTCAAGTTCTTGTGCATCCGATAACTGTGGACCATCAAAAATTTCGTATTTTTAATGGATGTTACACTTGAAGGAACGTCATCTTCAGCAAAAAGAAGCATAAAAATCCTACAAAAATGATCCATTTGTTTCTTCAGTGTTTTCAGTACTTATAATTTAATTATATAGATATCCCTGAAAATCATAAGAGGCTATCTGTTTCAGTAAAATTTTAAAAAAACTCAATTTTACGTGGAAGAATTTTTTTAAAAATTTTACTGATCATTTGTCTTGTGCGGGTCTCCAAACTTATCATTGGCTATCTGTTTGTTTTGAGAATTTTGAGATAAAAACATGTTTGAGAATATTTGAAAGGGGCCTTTTTTACCTGCGGGTAAATTATTATTTTTGCAAACATTCAGGTCAATATGATGGGTTTTCAAATCTGGCATCAGCGTATGATCTCAATGAATGAGGAGGTTGACTCATGGAATCCGAGTCACACACACATACTACATTATCTGAGGTCTGAACCAACTCGGGACCCTGGTAAAATCCAGTGGCTTGACGTGCTTTGCGATATATCGATTTATCTGTCATTTAACCTCATGGAAAAGGATCGATACCCAAGGTGTTCGCACAAACACCTAAATAATCGATTCTTCACCATAGCCTCAAATGGGGAAATATCGTATTTCCCCATGTATTGGGAAATTTTTGGAGCACATCGGTCAAATAGTAGCAAAGGTCGCATTCTTAGCAACATTACTGTCTCTTCCTAATTTCGCACAAGATCCTTATGCGTGGGAAATACTCGACCCTAGAATCCACTATTAGCCTAATGAAAATTCATTCACTCATTTTATCTTGTAACTAACAGAATTTAGAGAATTCCCTGGCTCATTTATTTCAGAGTATCTGGGTGTTACAAATATTATTTCAAAGATTCTTCTAAATAATTTTACGCACTTTTAGCGAGCGGTAGAGGATCAACAGCCTTCAGTTTTACATTGAAAGTAAAAACAAGACGACGGTTCCAACGTTAAGACGTTGGACGCGTCATGCGATATATCAAAATTTCCGCCGCTATTTTAATTTTTTACGGAGAAATTGTTGAACAAAGCTGTCGGAAAGTTTCACTGAATATTCTTTGTGCTGCCGGAAAATTCAGTAAAATTTTCCAACAGATTCCACCAACAATTTCTCTGTAAATAAATAAATTGGCGGCGAAAAATTTGAAACGTCGAATGGCGCTTGTGATACGTTGGCCAGAAGGTGACGACATATCCCCTCGAATCCTTCGACCCCTCCTCCCTCTCGCGAATAATCAAAGTTCAGCTGAAAATTGTGCCATATCGCAGATCTCTTTATCAAGTGAGAATCAGTCAGTTATCGAGTAATAGGTCACCGCAGACATTAATTTTGCATTGACATTGACTTTTACGTCCGCCACCCATGCTCGTCCCAACGGAGCCTTTCTTGCATTCTGTTTCCCACTCGTCCGTTATCTCAGATGACCGTGATACCTACCACCGCATCATCTCAGAGCAGAAACAACCTAAGTGCATTCGCACAAGAACTATGATAAGCTTGGGTACTGAGGCGATCTCAAGGTCATACCGAGTTGCACTTACGTTTTTCTTTCGAGCGACGCGCGAGGAAGTAGTTAAGCTGCGGACTCGCGTCCTGATGCCAGGTAGGCCGGGCAAACTTAGATAATTAGACTAAATTAACGCGAGATAGTGTTGAAAGGGAGAATACTACACGGCCATATCGTGCAAAAACGTCGTATGAGCATTTAATTGTTGCCGGATTTGCTCAAGCGAAATATTTATGTTTTGGGTAGCTTCCCTAACAACAACCGTTAAAAAGCGCTTTTTAAAATTACTTGAAAAAACTGATAAAGATTATGTTCAAAAAAACATAACTTGGGAATAAAATTGGGTATTTTTAAAATTTAAAAAGGTCTAGCAAAATTTACATGAAAAAGTCTCTAAAAAAGACTTTTCTCTTGAGTGTTTTGCTAATATTTTTTTAAATATTTTTAGTGTTGAAAAATGTCAAGAGAATTTTTAAGAGTTCTATTTAATGCATTTTTTTACTTTAATTTTACCCTTTAGAATATTTTCTAAAAAGAAGGGGAAAATAACCCAAAGACGGGTATCTGAAACGCACGATATATCTGTTGAAACTTTACGAGTTATTTAAAACTTTTTGTGCTAGAAAATGTAGTTGAGATTTTGGATATTTTTCACTGAAATCAGGTATCTCCAATGAACTGTACACAATATTCGTCTTGTCCAAGTTGAAGGAACGTCACTCCATTCCAAGGTTGCGAAGTTGATTCAAACAATAGGTTTTTTTCGTAGTAACTAGAAGTATAATCACTGAAATTTTTATTCAAAAATTCAAAACAATATTTCCTGATAAAAAAGAATATACGACTGAAAATCGTGCAACATTTAATTAAAGTCACGTTCTTTTGTCTGGTTTCCAACATTCAGTCTATAAAATTCATGGAATATAGTTTCCGCGACTTTCGCAGAAGATTTGTATTTTACCAGAATAAATTTTGCGACGTCTGAGTGTATATGAGGGGTTTTGAGCATAAGGCACATAAGTTTTGAAAAAATGGAGTTATTAAAAATTTCTGGTAAAACTAGTCTTAATGCATATTCTATAAAAAATTCGCTCCCAAATTTCGATTTTTAATAATCAAAAAGTCGGTTTGAACTTTCTTTCCGGCATAAGGATCCATGTAATTTCGAAACTCCAAACACATATTTCTCGAAATAGCAAAAACTGCACTTATGCGCCTTGTTCTCCAAGCCTCTCATATATGGTCTCATTTCTTCAGCAGAGTTGTAAAACGTGCAAAGCGGCACTATTTACAAGTATTTAGCCGAGCAATCGGAAGTAGGAGCTTACATTTTTCGGCGCAATCTTTTTAACGGATTTGTAACGAAACGAGGATACCAAAACTTGGGCGGCAGTTACAAATATTTTTCGGTATGAATACTACGTTTCATATAATCGTTGGCCTTGTAGTATAGTCTGGTTCGCCCCGGGACAAGACAACGAACCTGTCAATAAACTACGTCAACAGTAAATATACTCATACTACCGATGTGAGACGAATCCTAACAATAGGTTAACAACATCGTTTATCGGTTCAATCGAAGGTTATGGAACGATATAATATTGCGTTTTCGGACAGACAACTATTCGCGCTCCCCGGGATGTTTGTTGCCCACACGACGAAATTGAAGGCGAACATCTACACTGAAAAAAAAGATTGGAAGAATTCACCATTCCCTCACGCTGTATTTTATACAGCGTTAATTCAGAGTCAATTCTGCCAGGAGAAAAGTAAACGTTACTATACATTGGTATAGGTAACCACTCCTCTGGCAGAATCGACTTGAAGATTTGTAGAATTTACCATTCCTTCACGCTGTGTGAAATACAGCGTGAAGGAATGGTAAATTCTACCAATCTTTTTTTTCAGTGTAGTGGACGATATCAGTCAATAGGTTTACGCATGGTCTATTGGTTTAACAAAGGTTATGGAGCGAGATTAATGTGTGCTTTTTACAAAGATAAATATTCGTGTCCTCCGGTATGTGTTTTGGCTGTGTCAAAAACGTAGGTGAACTTCAGATGAGCGATACTTACCAATTTATTAAAAACATCGTCTCAATGCTTATACGATTAAGAAACGTTCCTTGTCCAATAGACGATTTCATAATTGTAGTGGTTTCTCTTGCCCCATGACACTGCTGAAAGATCGGTCTCTTTCGTGACGTTTAATTATACTTAGGGGATTTTCTTATAAAATTGTGCTACATTTGGCGTCTTAAACCTTCTTGTGTCTGTAAGTTGTAATAAAAATCGTCCAATCAAATTCTGAAACACTACATTGGACATCAGACGTTTTCGCCCGAGCCATTTCAATTGGGATGGCAATAACCGAAATCACTTTAACTACGACCCGATGATATTCTCTCGATACTTCCCTTTTTTATTGTCATGATCCCATTTTAAATACATATATGTTTTTTGCACAAGAGGTGATTTCTGATGGAATTTTTTCTTTTTTTTTTCTTCCAGCTGCAGGATGGCAGAAATGCGTTCCTCAACGGTATGTGATAGCGCTGTTGTGCTTCATGGCAATGGTGATGTGTTACATCCACCGATTCTGTCTCAGCCTTGCCATCACAGCCATGGCCGAGTCCAAACACCACATCATTGCTTCAGCTTCCCAGTGCGGCCCCAAACCCAACCAGACTCTCTCCAGTTCTGCGGTCCTTTTAACGGCGGTAAGTGATTGACTCTGTCGCTGAAATTATAGTTCTAATGAAGTTGGGTAAGGGGTTCTCAAAGGAAAAATCCAAATTCTTCAGCCCAACGAAAAGACCGATTTGGGATCCAAAATATAAATCTTCAGTAGTCTGTGGGTTGATGCATGTCAATTAGCACGGAAAACTGTCAATAAAATAACAACTTAATTTGGGGAAAAGGTGCAAAAGGCAAATAGCTAAGACATGATATTGGGTAAGTCTAAAATTTATCGCTATATTCACTACCTACACACGGAGTCAGCGCATTTTTGAGCTTTCCTCTCCGAAGAGTAGAAATACGACGCCTAGTGCATGGCTATTGTTACTTGGCAGATAGTTTATTATTCACTTCACTGTAAATAAAACTCCGGCAGTGGAAGCCGTACTTACGAGCTACGTGGATACCGTTCGCGATCCGGGCTCAGAGGCCGAACATTCCGGGTGTGGCACCCAGAGCAGTCGAAGCTACGGCTCTAGCACCCGGAACTTTCGGCATCTGAGCCAGGAACAGGCGGTATGTCTATAAGGCTCGTAACTTTATTTCCGTGTTCAAAGGCTCATAAAATTATTGAAAATGCAAATTACAGCCTGCAATTTCAACCTAATATTTTGGAGGTCTTTAAAAGCGTTTTGTATGAATAATTGAAGATCGATTTCCCTGACCCCAAATTAGTTTTTTCGCTGTACCTACTGAGCAATTACAATCTTCACCTTGAGGGCCCTGGTGCCCGGTCTCCGTCAAAAATGCTCACATAAATTACGAAGCAGGTAGAATGAGAATCGGCACCGTAATTCTGAGACTTGGCGATGTGGATCCACCCTTCCGTCTCGAGTTTGTTCATCTGTTGTCCCGTTGACACCTGAAACGGCCCTGAGAGCGCTGCGAGGTGCGTGCCTCTGTTTACCACTACGGCTGAAAGGCTTCTCGGGTCTTGTCGATCGACAGGGACAAAGGGTGGCGGAAAAGCCATCGAGCGGATAAGATGGATCTGCAGGCTAGGCAGAGGGCGGATGAGCAACACGTGCTTTGCGATATATCGATTGTCCGCCGTTCAAACCCATGGAAAAATATCGATAAACAGAGTATACCTCAATAATCGATTATTTACCATGGATGCAGATGGGGAAATATCGATAGTCGATCATAAACGCCTTACTGATAAGCAAAGGCGGTAGAGGGCCAATTACTTAAGCGTGTGCCGCGTCGAGTGTCCTCATCCCGTTGCCCTTTTATCATATGGGCGGAACTACTTTTTAGAATGAGCCCTGGTGTCCATATAGTTTAATGCTCCTCAGGGCTCAACTCAATATTTAGTCGCGCTTTTTGTCAGCTGGGTGACGATGTCACTTACGCACGCCACGGAGCACCAACTGGGCTGCACGTCAATCCAATCGATGACCGATACTCGATTTCATCGCAGCCGTGGATACGTCATCGGGCGCGACAAGGCGGCTTCAACGCAGATTATGCTGATTATTAAAATTGATAGACAAAGCGATAGACAAAGACGTAAGGAGTATGGAGCGATCCTATTGGTTAAAACGGGTGGTTCCTATAGATTAAGTAAGAAAATGATGGAGTTTATAGGGTCTCTCGTGGGTTGCCGTCAGTTGGTCAAATACCTACCAAATTTGTCCATTGCAACCATTCGCTTCCACCAATTGGATCCCTCCGTGTCCCTTTTGTCTTCTTTGTCTATAGTTCTGTCTATCAATTTCAACGAGCAGCCCACTGGCTTGAAAACCGTGAATATCTATTGTCACCTCATTGGAAATAAAACGTATAACAAAACCTTTAAAATTAGAGAAAGGGAGGAAGAGGAGGGAAATTGGAGTAAAAGGGGAGAACGGCATTAAATAGAGAAAAGGAGAGCAAAAAGGGAAAAGTAAAAAAAAATGTCGGCAGGCAAACGAAAAAAATTTCCGGGCCAAATTTGGAAAAATGTCGTAGAATTTTCAGATCTCCGATTTCTGGGAATCTGCGTCACTTTGAAGATAGCGATATGATCGATTTTCTATAGACTCGTTTTGATAGCATGCCACTTCTCTGTCGAACAGAGTCGATAGAATTACGCCCTTGATGTGTGTGACACATTTTTAATGTGCACATCGTGTTTTACGCGTCACTTATCGTGGAAAAATATATTCGCATTTTAAAATTTGTTCATGATTTAGTGACCCATCCCAGGAGGATTATAGGTTGAATGTGTGAGTGTACTTCTGTAACCTATTTTTCATCAAACGAGGACATCTTTGAGGAACAGGATTATATTCGTAACACTGTGATATAATCGATTGAGGGAAAACCTGCTTTTCACGGTCCGATCAACGTCAAGTAATTGATTAATCGAATCATCCTACATGATAAACGCGGATAGCTTTAGAATGCAAATAATTCTGACTGTCGTTTGGTTTAATTATCATAACTTGATATTTTTATGGCTTTTCGCTTGATTGGCGCCATGGATGTTGATTGATGGCTCTAGAGTAAGAATATCTCGTAACTCAATTGTATAGTTATATTAATTTGTTTTATTATATGTATGAAAAACATTAAAACACGATTGAGATTTGTAGAATTTTGTCACGAAAGATGCTCAAATCATAGCCAAAATGACAAATATAAGTTGACTATATTGCAGTTTAAAGGGTTGTTAAACTTTACCCCAAGGGTTTTTAAACTTTTCATCCCTACCTATACCTTGAAGGACAACTTTAATTCTCTATATCTAGTCAAACTCTCCATGCAAAGAGAGGGAGCAAATACATTAGCAGGATTACCGTGTTTTTAGTTTGTAAGTCCCCAAATAAAGTGACAACCCTGTCAATGTATTTGCCTCCTATTTTTGCGTAGAGAGTTTGTCTTGACAAAAAGGTGGACTCTTGGGTAGCGTGGAATATCCCCTCCATTACAGCCTCAACTTTGAGAGCTTCTTTTGAGCTATGAAGTTGATTTCAGAGAAAACCAGTGGAATTATCGTGTTTCTCGCGAAATTTTACATGGGAATTAGTACAGTTCAGCTTCATACAATGCAAAGCTTTTTGAAATTTGTTCAGTGCTCGATTTGACCTGAGTAGACTTCGATTTTTTGTGAGCCGCCTCACAACAATTGAACACAATTTGAACTGCGCCGTAAAAAAATGCTAATTTCTAATAATCAAATTGAATTCAGAAGTTTTGAATGCGTCTATTTTATATATATATATATGAGTCGCTTTTACAGCGCTCTTTGGCGCTTTACGACGCCTACTCGCCACAAAGCTCGATCTTCCCACAGGTCATCAGGGAGTTGACAATCTCTTATTTCATTAAACACCCCCTGTCGCCAACCTCTCACTGGGCGTCCCCTACGTCTCCTCCCAGGAGGAACCCAATCAAGCAACTTTTTTGGCAGCCTCTCTTCCGTCATCCTATTGACATGACCATNCTCTCCTAGACAGGTTGCTTTCACTTCAGCTCAGAGCCCTGTCTGCCCTTCTAGCAGGTGGTTCATACGCCCAGAGGCCGGTGACCATCTCCACTGCCCCCTTTAAGGCAGGGGCTACCAGCTGGGGTCCGCAGGATTGCTAAACCTGTGACAACAGTCCCCCATACGGTCATTTTATTCTACGTTAAATTTTGAATAATGTTTTTTTATTAGTGCTCGATTTTGTACCATGTTCAATGGCCCATTTTTTTGGTCCAAAGCCATCGACTGAATTAATTAGACAAACCATCATCAGGTAGGGATTACCGCGGAAAAGTCTCAATCACAGATAGAGCGGATTCCGCGAGCAGCCGGCCTTGGGACTTAAAAATAGGAGCGCGTGTGGACAGTAACGATTAGTGCCGGGCCGGACAAATTAACACATCTTGAAAACGCGTGACAATTGCGAGACGATTTCTCACGGGTCACTTCAACGGGTTGTCTCGGGTCATAAAAATCTCGTAAAATTTTACTCTATCAGTTCATCAATGTCGCAGGAACTGTGAAAGTCTCTTTGACACGCGACTGAATTCTGATTTAGATGAGCTTTTGATTATTGATGATTTACCACAGACGAGAAGGGTCTGAGGCCCCCTCCCTTTCTCCCATCGAGGAATTTTTTGAGAAACTACCCCATAGGCAGAAGAGTCTGTAAGGTAAAAACCAACATTGGTCAGCGCGCCGATTAAAGTTTAAAGCAGTCGGATACGACACCGAATTGTGATTTATTGCATGGTTAAGATAGGGCTATGGGGTTGGTTCAAAAATTTCACATTTTTGGGGTAAAATTTAAATATATGGATGATAAAACCTGAAACTTACATCTTGGTGTCCGAGGTCCGAGAAAGAAAAAAAACACACTGGTGTTTTTTCCTGTTACCATTGGGCTGCTTCGTAAAAATGTATAACTATAGTATAGTTAAGTATTTAAGTAGTTTAGTAGTATTTAGTACTTAGTGCTATTCATGAGTGTATAATTTTTCTGTTGACAGGAAACCTACGAGTTTGATTGGGATGAGGAGATCCAAGGCATGATTTTAAGTGCCTTCTTTTGGGGCTATGTTCTATCCCAAATACCAGGAGGAGTCCTGGCAGATCGTTACGGAGGCAAAAAGACATTGGGATTTGGAATGGGCCTCTCGATAACTTGTACCCTCTTAACTCCGTACTTCGCAAGGACATTCGGTCACCGAGGGATGGTCCTAATCCGATTCATCTTGGGTCTCGGACAGGTGAATTGATTAATTAATTAAATGAATAGTAATTTAATTCATTGTATATTATATTATAGTTCAATTAAATTTCAGAGAAAAAATATGTATACAGCATAGCTTCCGGGATAGAAACTGGATGAAAGAAAAGGAATGTGATTCTACATATAACGTATAGGTACCTAATTAATAAGTTTCTCGAGAATGTGTTTTTAAGAAAAGTGGGCTCTAAAAGTCTTAGGAGTCTTCTTTTCTGGAGAGCAAAAGAGGGCAGGGATCAATTTGGGTTTTTTAAAGAATTTATTCGAAATAATCACCTACCTATTAAACAATTGCAACTTGAATCATGAAACTGAGAATTTGACTGAGTTACAGAGTTTTTAAAAGGGCGTGTCAAATTGACCCCTTCAGGATTCTCAAAATCTTTTGCGAAAGGAAGAGACAGATTAAGATTTGTATAATCAATCAGTTTTACTAAAAAAAAGTTTACAGAAACTTTCCGAATGATAAAATTTACTCCTCTTCAATTGACGATTCACCTTTTCGTTCCTTTTCGAAGTATCTTCCTTCAGCAGATATGCGGGGACGCATCTTTTCACCCCGCTTCTCCATGAAGTTTTTTTTTCGGAATCGTCTTCGTAGGTTGAGGTTGAAGAGGGTTTTAACGGCACTCTTGATTTTTTGATAAGTGGAGTAGGTTTTCATTGTTTTCTTCAGTGTTTTTTAATCCAGATAATTTTTTTTTTTTCAGGGACCAGTATATCCATCTGTAAATACTTTACTCGCACAGTGGGTTCCACCAACAGAAAGAGGGAGAATGGGAGCTTTTGTTTTTGCAGGTATGCTCATATGCTGTTTAACTTGTACCTATACGCTTTTTATCAGTCACGCACTCAGTGAGTAAAAAATCCGCAACTGAAGTAATGGCCGAGGTGATTAAAAATTCATGTCTTGAAAACTACCGCGTCAAATCTACAGTGTGATTTGGTAATTATTGTCTGCAATCACAAATCGACGGTGAAATTTCCAAAGCACGTATCTCGATTGCGATAGTTGAGAGTCCCTCCTCAAAATTTATTTTATCTTCCTTGAAATTTTCGCGGAATTTTTTTCATACAGAGACGAAAAAAATCACCGAAGTTTTCGCGGGATGCTAGTTAATAGTTTTCTCTAAAAAAACAAAAATGACAGAGGGTTGGTAACGCCGCAAACCGAAATACGTGGTTTGGGAATCTCACCGTCGAAATATATAAAGATAAAGTTTTTCGAAAATAAACTTAGTTACAGGGAGCACACGATTGGATAAGGAGCGCAAAATTGAATTTGCCGCCCATCACTTTAGCGCCAAAAAGCACTGTTTTGATTGGTTATTGCTATTGTTGTCGGGAGGAAGTAGAAATGGATATTATAAAAATAGCTCTGATTGACCAAAATCAAACCGGGCAATCAAATCAACTCGATTGTTTATAATTTCTTAAGGATTGTAGTGTGAGTTAGAAAAAATACGACGATGGAGTGCTAAGTATTGAATAATTTAACCGAGGAACAAGTTGACTGAACAAAAGAATATCGTTCCTGATCAAAGTGCAAATCGAGAAAGATGTGAGTTAGGGGCGGAAGTTAAATCCATAGCGCGGAAACAGCAAGTATTTTGTTTGCGTCCTCCTAATCTTGGTACGGATCTTATGGTGGTTTATGTACCTCAACTTTGTTGTCATATCTTTCGCATAGGTATGCATCCCATAAAAATTAAGTAAAATTGCGTTAAAGTAAATGCTACCTAAATCTCTACAACGCTTCTATCTTACATCCTCCTGATAGTTCGTATTCGAGTTTCTCCCGCAGAAAATCGTACATACTCGTATGTCGACCCATTAGTGCCGTCTCAGTGAATTTTTTTCGTACCAATTTTGTTAAGCCAATCATTGATATAATAAAGTCTGCAGACTCCAGTCGCAATTCTTGCCAGCTGGTACCTAACACTTTTTCCCCCTGTTTAAGTCTATTTTTTCCAGGAACAAGTGGATTGTATTTTTCAAAAAGGAATCAGAAGCATTGCAATCATGCTAAGATTGTGTAACTTCATCCTTTGCAATAAAATTACTGAAATCATGAACAAATATGAAATTTAAATGGTGATTTTTATCTTAAATTTACAGTTTTTAGCGAGCAAAATAGAAACTGTTAATGGATAATCAGGTTTTTTTCCAAGGCAAAAGAAGTTGCATAATCTTCGCATCATTGCAATGCTTCTGGTTCCTTTTCGCAAAATGCAATCCAATTTCTGGTATGATAAACTGTCTGAAATTATATCGATTGTATCGCATGTATTTCAGCTGAAGAGACCCAGTGTGGCTAACTTACGATAGTAATCAATAGCCAAGATGTTTGGTAGCCGGCAAATGAATGAGCCCCAGTATTTTCCAAAGTCCTAATCTTCCTCAATCTTCTGTTTCAGGGGCTATGATCGGTAATGTTGTGTCCATGGCACTAAGCGGTGTTATTATTAGGTATATCAGAGGAGGTTGGGCCAGTCTTTTCCTAATCTATGGAGGAGCTGGTATCGTATGGTTGGTCCTGTGGCATATATTTGCATACAACGACCCATTATCAAATCCATACATGTCTGACAAGGAGAGAGAATATTTGGAAAAGAACACAGGAGGCCTCCAAAGAAACAAGGTTAGTTCGAAAAATTGGAACTCAAGCCTCTAAGGCACAGTGTTACTTATTCGTACGAACGCATACAAAATGGAAGGAAAATCTACCCTGGTAAAAATTGGCAGTAGAATATGTGTTCCAAAATACAATAGACCTAAAGCCGGCTGTACAATTTCTTATAGCCTTTTATAGCCGATGGCGATAAAGCAACAGCCAGACGATAAAGTTTATGCTTAACGTTACTAAATACGGATACTAGGACTTAGTTAGTTTGTGGACTACCGCTCTCTTTTTGTGCCGCAGTATCTTGATTTATGTTGCGAGGAAAGCTCCGTACTTTTGAAGGATGCCTGGCATTCTTAATATGTTGGAGCGCCTTCAATTTCTTATGATACTGAGCAATACCTCTGGTGTGAAATAGTTGCTTCAGACGACGTGGCACGCCGCCCGCTGGCGCCTACAAACCTAACAGGGATACTTGACGCATTGCGCAATGCGTGAAGTATCCCTGTTAGGTTTGTAGGCGCCAGTGCGTCGCCGCGCAATGCGTGAAGCATCCCTGTTAGGTTTGTAGGCGCCAGTGCGTCGCCGCTTCGCTTTGTGTTACGCTCTAATATTTAATCTCGCGGAGTCAGCGTTTTTCAACTCGTGGTTTTGAAATGTTTGCACACTCTGTATGGACTCTGTTTCAATTGATGAAAAAAAAATGTTTTAAAGGAAAATATAATGTGTGTTTTGTAAATATTAAGGTAGTTCCGTATCAAACTTAATGATTTCCAAAGCACATGAATTTCTACACAATTTCTTATAGCCTTTTATAGCCAATGGCGATAAAGTGTAAAGCCCGGCGATAGGAACTATAGCCCGACTGTATACTTTTTTATAGCTTCGTACAGCCCGGCTATATGATTTGCTCCGCTTCCTACAGCCAGCTATACGATTTTCAATAGCCTTCTTTAGTCGGCTATGAGAACTCCTATGGTATTTTGAAACGCAGCTCGTATCGCCAATTTTTACTAGGGTGCGTATGAAAGCTAAGATTGCATTCTTATTTGGTGAATTTATCATTAATAAATTAGTTTCATGTCAATAACTAATTTTTATTTTTTAAAATTATCACACACTGAGCAAATAGCGATTTAATTCTTGATTCTCCACTCACATAATAAAATAACATATTGTTAAGTTTCTCGCACAATTAAACCAAGAAATCACCCGAAAAATTATATAAATAAACTGCCCGGACCTACTTAGGTCCGAAAAATTTGTTCTAGCAAGGCTTTTCATTAAAATATTTGATTGTTTTCTGCACTTATTAGGACCTTCCAGCAACTCCATGGAGACGAATTTTCACATCGGGACCCGTATGGGGCTTAATAGTTGCACAAATTGGTCATGACTGGGGTCTTTTCACCATCATCACAGATCTACCAAAATACATGAAAAGTGTTCTTCATTTCTCAATCACCCAGGTAAGAATTTTTTAATAAAAAAAATTCCATTTTTATTTCAGTTTGGTGTAGATAGATAAACATTTGTTTTAGCTCACCAAAATGTACGTAGTCAGATCCTGAAATTTAGAGGAAAGAAGACTAAGAAATAAGTAAAGAGAGGGGGTGCGAAGAGGGGTAGGGGAATTCTGAATTGAATCATATTGTGATAAAATGAAGCAATTAAGGATTTAACGACCCCTCTCATCAGATGAATTCCCGGCCAGTGCTAAATCTGACGTTAATACATTACCAACTGTAGGGGTAGGTATGCTCCTTGTTTTAAGACTAAAACGGATTGTAATAAATACAGACAGACAGCATGAAGTAGAAATAACTTTAAATAAGGGAAGAGAAGAAAAAAAGAAAGAAGAAAAACCAACAACACCAATAAAAATACAGAAACTGTACGGTTTTTAACTTTAGATCGACCAAAGTCCTTGTATGAGTACTATGAATTTCATTGACTAACGCTTTTCCAAAGTTAAAGCGTTTCATCAATAAACCGGAGGCAAGTACTCACTCACATGACATTGTTTTTTCAGAATGGCGCTCTCTCTGCTCTTCCATACATTGTCATGTGGTTTGCAGCCCTCATGTCTGGGGGAATTGTAGACTATCTCATCAAGCCAGATAGGCTGTCTACTACTACCGTCAGAAAAATCTTTGTCACGATTGGTAAGTATTTCTTGTTGCTAATGCCTCTCAACTCTTCAGGTATTTAAAAAAAATTGTCTCACCGAGTTTTTTCAGATTCGGATTTGTCAGGAATCTCTGTGCAAATTAATAATCGCTGCGATAGATTTTCCAGTGAACACTCTAAAATATTTTTACCAAATGGCGCATAAAGAACAAGTGCAGCATTACTCCATGAGGGAAAATTGTGCTCTTACGAGCTTCTTTCCCTCAATCCCTCAGTTGTGAGAATGCACGGCGTATGCAGTCCATGAAATTCCTTGTAGGGGTGAGGGGTTGGGAATGGAAAAAAATCGGCTAAAATGCTATGAGTCATACCTACTTGAACGGCCCATCGTCTATATATGTTTTATGGGCCCTTCCTGGAACCATTCTCAACTATTCCTTCAAGATTATATTAAAAAAGAAAAGATTCTATGGATCAAAAATGCGTTATTTTCGCTCGCAAATTGTACGAGAAGTTAATTGCATAGTGCCAATAATGAATTGTGATTTTTGAAAGATTTTACACCCATCATAATGATCCCTATGACCAGCGGAGTATGCAACAATCTCATCAAATGTTGGTGCTGTCCACTTTACACGACTGGGCTTACTCATAAAATTGTTTTTATCTTTCTAATTTTCACTCCTATAATATGAAAAACGGATCTCTTTTTTAAATGTTGAATTAATGAATTAAAAATATGTTTCGTTTTATTTGTTAACTAGCTTCAGCAGGTCCCGCCATTGGCATATTAGCAGCATCATACTCAGGCTGCGATAAACTTCTGGCCATGATTTCTTTCACATTCGGCATGGGCCTAATGGGTGCCTTTGTTCCTAGTCTCAAGGTCAATGCCTTGGATTTAAGTCCCAACTATGCTGGTACGCTCATGGCTGTTGTCGGTGGTATAGGGGCTATGTCTGGGATCCTAACACCATACTTAGTTGGCGTTCTCACTCCTGATGTAAGTAAAAAAGAAAAAAAATTGAAATAATAATAATTAGCTCTGCTGGCGAGGGTATGATCATGTCACGGTAGAATAGTCTTTTTAGCCCCTTTTGCACACCCTTTCCGCAAAAGCACACCTCCTTTCTCCATTTAATGCACGGCAGAATTCATGAACAGCCTCTAATCAATCGCATTGATTAGAATTTGACGGTAAAAACCGTAAAACAAGCGGAGATGACAATATTTTTCCCTCTATATTTTGCTTTTGCTCCCGATTTATTCATGCCGAAGAGCTTTCTTCCAAGTATAAATTTAAAATTTAAGGTCCTCTGTGTCATTTTAGATCCTCGCACTAAAGCCCTCTGCACGCAGAATTGAGTCTTCGGAGAAGTTGGACATGAAATTCTCGACTAAAACTGCAAATTTAATGCCTATCCTTCACATCTTAAAAAAGGGGTGCTTGTTGATGGCAATTTCACGAGAAAATCAATGAAACCACTCCTGTAACTTCTATGTTCCGTATTAACATCGATATGAAATTTTAATGTTTCCACATTTTGTCCGACTCCTCTCATTGGCTCGCTACACCGAGCACCGCTGGTGAGGCGGATGGTGCCTGAAGTCAAAACGCCTTCACATTTGTGCTTATGCAACAAGGACATCCATGGAGCCCTAATAGTTGCATCCATGCGTTATAATGAAATTCTTTTAGTATCCGTCGCATGTGATATACTAACTAAAGCTTTGTTTTTCTTGCACAGTAACTTAATTCCAGTGTGGCCTGTCATGCCGATGAATGGCATGACAGATGAAGTTAACCATCGTTGATTGTCATCGCAATATTGTCAGTTTTCCGATAAATACATTACTTAAATGTTGTCGGCCTTTGAAATTGCAAAAATTTAGGCGTCTGAGAATGATAGTTATCTTAATGTGTTTATTTTATCTCTTCATCTTTGCGAAAATAATTTTGATGAAAGTGTGAAATTTTCAAACTGCAACCCTGATGCGATGGCCATTCTGCCGTGTTAAGGTAAACGCCGTATGAACCTTCAGGCGTTGCCAAATTTCCTTCCGTAAATCATGAATTTTCGAGAAAATTTGTAAACATTTTTCTTCCAATTTTTCAGAAAATTTTGTTCGCAATCTTACCTATACAATTCTTAAAAATGTCTCAGAAAAATATTCATAAATTTCCTCAAAAATAAACATTTTATCGAAGGAAATTTGGCAACTCTCGAATGTTTATACAGCGTTCTTCCTTAGCACAGCAGCATTGGTGTTGCGACAAAATAAAATGTGACAGGAAATCTGGAACATCATGCAGATTCCTACAAAAACGGATATGGTGTCCTACGTGCAATGGCGAAAATAGCACAATAAAGACTGGGAAATATGTATTAAAATGAAATTTATATTATGTTTAGTTCTTTCCTTCATGAACTTTAGGCTGCGTCGTATTGTTTTATTTATAAAACTTTCAAATTTTGATTGTTGTTTTCTTTTTTTGATTATAGGGTACTTTAGAGGAGTGGAGGACAGTCTTCTGGTTATCAAGCATTGTGTTAATTATAACAAACATCATCTATGTGGCCTTAGGTTCTGGTGAAATCCAACCCTGGAACTAAACCCCAAGGATAAAATTAGGTAGTTAGCATCCTTACCAGGAAGTGCAAAGTTTATATTTTTTTTTTGGAAAAGGTTTGAGCTCAATTCATCAATATAGCTTGTCCTCTCGTAAATTTGTATGCAAGTTTCACATATCAACTGGTTAGTTAATCTGATGAAAATTCATTCCCAAGGTAACAGTATTCAATTTATATTTAAGCCCCTCAAGTAAATTGTTGATCGAAATTTCGTGCCTCAAGTTGTTCTGTGATTGGAATATTAATTCGGACAACCTGTATGGACGTCTAATTGTCTCGTGTAAATTTTCCATCAGCTTCAGGTCTTAATAATTTTAGAGCAGCTATGTATCATAGGCTCTGAATAACTCTGTTGAGCACAGAATAATTTCTTAAAAAAATAAAAATAAATAATTTTTTAAAGAGGAATTTCCCTATTCAAGAACTGGTTATGTGTCACCACAAGGCTCTGGAGTTTGATTAATCACTATCTCAATTTCCAATTAAACGTATTTTTCCTGAAAGAAACTATGTAAAAATGAATTAAATCAAAGAATAACTATGATACACGCACATCCTGTGCACTTAGCTCCTTATTATTTGACTCATTTTTACATAGTTCCTTTCAGCATATGGTCTAATTTGCTGTCCATAGGACTTCCCACCCGCTTAGCAAAACGTTTGGGAAAATGNAACAGTATTCAATTTATATTTAAGCCCCTCAAGTAAATTGTTGATCGAAATTTCGTGCCTCAAGTTGTTCTGTGATTGGAATATTAATTCGGACAACCTGTATGGACGTCTAATTGTCTCGTGTAAATTTTCCATCAGCTTCAGGTCTTAATAATTTTAGAGCAGCTATGTATCATAGGCTCTGAATAACTCTGTTGAGCACAGAATAATTTCTTAAAAAAATAAAAATAAATAATTTTTAAAGAGGAATTTCCCTATTCAAGAACTGGTTATGTGTCACCACAAGGCTCTGGAGTTTGATTAATCACTATCTCAATTTCCAATTGAACGTATTTTTCCTGAAAGAAACTATGTAAAAATGAATTAAATCAAAGAATAACTATGATACACGCACATCCTGTGCACTTAGCTCCTTATTATTTGACTCATTTTCACATAGTTCCTTTCAGCATATGGTCTAATTTGCTGTCCATAGGACTTCCCACCTGCTTAGCAAAACGTTTGGGAAAATGGTGACACTACGGTTTTTTTTTTTTTTTTTTTTTTTTTTTTTTTTTTTTTTTTTTTTTNTTTTTTTTTTTTTTTTTTTTTTTTTTTTTTTTTTTTTTTTTTTTTTTTTTTGAGATATAACTCTGTGACAACGTGTCCGCACACGTTTTGTAAGGCGGGTAATTTCATCAGAGGACAGTCGCCATTGCCAAAGTAAGTAGGATGAACATTAATCCTATGAAGCTGTATTGTACAAATTTTTTGAACTGGTTTTGTCGCATTCCATATTTGATAAGTTTTTTTGGAACAATTTTTTTATTACCTGATGTACATGCTGATAGTGTTAGTTTATAAGTATTTACTGCATTTTTTTGCAGAGCATTGTAAATATGTGTACAAAGCTATTAGAATAAGTCGTTCTTATCTTCCTTATTTATTTTTATTTATTTTTTTAAAAAAAAAAATCTGATCCGCTAGAATGTTGTGATTCTTAGACATTCAAATCGTTGACTTCTGAATCACTTATTTATTTCTATCACTGATGGTTCGCTGATTTATCATGGATCGATGCGCATTAACGGACCCAGTAAATTGGCAACATTGTTTTTTCTCCATTTAAACCTATGGGAATGTATCGATTTTTGGAGGGGTCAGGTGCTCCGACAAGAATCGATTATTTAACATGGGTTTAAATGGAGGAAATCTGGTGATGCCAAATTGCTAGATCCGCTTCTGTCGGTGTGTTTACTTCTGTAATATAAAGAGATTCTCCTGTCCTACTGCTGTGCTAGGGTTGTGTACATGTACATATCCATTTTAATTCTACCAAATACCATGAAATTAAACCTTTATTTTTGGAAGAGCCAATTAAAATTTCACCCTAAAATTTTAGGAACTTCTACCAAAAATGTGTACTTTATGAGCGTAAAATATACAACCCCCAAAAATTCACCTACCATTTCCCAGAAACATGGTGGCAGGTAGCACTGTCATTCCGAACAGTACGAAAAACCACTCGTTCACCAGTGACACTGCCTCAATAGCAGCTAAAGCCGTCACAGAGGCATGTTTTCAAACTTTTCTGAGGGTTGGTTCACTCATCTGATTATAGTATATTGTTACAGCGTTATGTATCGTTCTGTAAACTTCAAGATTGACTTATAAGTACTATGAATATTTAAGAAAGTGTGGTTTATCTTATTTTCAAAGACTGTTCGCAAATTAGGGGTAAACTGTGTGGGTATCGCACATCCTGAAAATCTTACCATTTGCGCAAAGTCGTCTGCCTCAAAAGGCTGTATCCTGGCAAGAACCAAAAATGCTCAAAATTGTCTCGTTAAAACAGTAGTTATGTCTTGTGATGCCCTCTTAAAATCCCATGTTCAAATCCACATCTGTTATGTTACTCTTTAAACTGAAATCATTTTATCACTTTTTTATACACTTTTTTTGACAACCTTCAAATCCTTACTTTCGGTGCATTTATGAATTTTTATAATATTTTCCTGAAACCACGTAAATCCCTCTGTTTTATTTCCTTGCCTGATTACACTTAAAAAAGTGTGTGTGTGTTTTTTTAAAAATATGCTCTGAACTTGCACACACTGACTTTCTTAGGGCCAATAATCTTTTATGTGTCACAACATCCGTTTTTTTTTTCGTGCCGACTATGTTTTATATGCTGTATTTCCATGCTGAATTCATTTTCCCTGAACCACAATGATTCCTTTTATACTTTCTAGTTATTTATTTATTTGTTTGTTTGTTAATAAATGTGTACTGTCAATAAAAAAATTGTTTTGAATTTTTACTGTCGTCGGTCATTCCGATTAGGTATTTATGTCAATTTGTATTTTGGTTCAAAAATTACCAGTAACAGCCCACTTAATGATCTCCAATTGAGGAGAAAAATTTCTACTAGAGATGTTACTAAAAGCAGCAACAAAGTCACTGCAGCTTATTTTACTTTTACATAAAGTGCATACTTCCTTACGAGTAAATATTGGCATGAAACCAAAGGGTCAAGGGATACAGGAATGACGCCTTTTTATTTGTCTATTTTTTATGTTTTTACCCTATAATAATAACCAAACGGAAAATATATTTTAATGCTCGTGCACAAATTTCTTAAAGGGGCTACAGTGTTTCTCAAGTTGGTTTGAGAGGCTTGGAGTTCTGATTTTACATGGAGCCTTGTGGCGTGAGCTGGCGTGTGTTGAGTTAATAAATGACAACATTAAAATTCGCTAAGAAATAATTTGATTATTATTATGATATGCTCATCATCATCACCTGTCGACCGTTGCTGTCGACAGTACCATAGAATAAATAGTCTATTTACTCTATGACAGCACAGAACAGAATGAAAACTGAAATATATCCATCTAACCAAGAAGTATTAGTATCAGCTGGTCTGACTTGACATGGCGGAAGCACTTCCTGATTAGCAAAACTTGCCCTCAATGATATGAAGTATAAGGAAAAATTATTCCTGCCACTGCATTTGCAGGGTTGTGTGTTTTGCCTATCTACTAACTGAAGGGGTTCCTCTTGCTGAAGTTGATTGTAATAATATTGAAATGAGTTGCGACTTTTCCTCGCAATGCAAACCCATCTTATTCCGTTTGATCTGCACATGCTACTTGAAATTAGCAATTCATTGACCAACTGATTCAATGATTTTGCAATTCACTGATACAAATATATATGCCATTCTATTGCAACAAATTTCCACTTTACTGTAAAGAATTTGCAGGTGTCTTAAATTTTGTGAATATCATCTTTAAAATGATACTACTAAAAAAACTGAGCATGAGGATATCCTTGGTTTCACAATTGGATAATTATTAGAGAAAATATGACAAAATAATCCAATTTGCTAAAATACATATATTTAAATGGAAAATGTTGCCAAATTACGTCATGAGGCGGCACATTTTTTCACTTTTAAATCAATTTGTCTCCAATTTCCCATGTCAGAAAAAAATTACGAAAAATACTGCGAACTCAGCTCATAGGCACTCTCAGATGAAGCAATAAAATTTTTGGGTGCAAATTCTTCGTTCGATATTTTCGTTGCAAAACTACTTCGTTGCTACTACTGAGTGGATATGCTACTTGAAAGTAATGGAATCCTTCTCATTCTGTCCCAGAGGAGAAACTTGAGGATGTTCCAAGTAGAATAATTTTCAAAGAAAATTTTCAAGTCTTGTCTTAAAAATTGGCATCTGGGTATGAAATTTTTCTAAGGTATAAGCTCAAAAATAACAGCGGAAAGTTTTCTTGTATAGAAGAGAAGACGGAAAAACTCATCATGAAGGCTATTTCCATTTAAATCTTCCGTCACATTCTTACGGCGCAATGATACAACTATTTGAACTCTCCGGAATGCGAAAGTTCCGATACCCGGATAATCGTTTTGCATAGTTCATATTCTTTTGTTTTCATTTCTAACCACTTGTTTATTTATAATCCTCCTATAAAAATTACCCATTTGCTATGTACAATTCTAGCTGGAGCGCACTTCAGCTATGCATACACCATTGCAAAAATGTCAAAGGAAATCGACAAGCACAGCGTGCATGGGGGCTATTTCCATTTAAATCTTCCGTCACATTCTTACGGCGCAATGATACAACTATTTGAACTCTTCGGAATGCGTTATGTATCACGCCGAATTTGAAGGCGTTTTCAAAACAGCCAAGTTCCGATACCCAAATTATCGTTTTGCATAGTTCATATTCTTTTGTTTTCATTTCTAACCCCTTGTTTATTTATAATCCTCCTATAAAAATTACCCATTCGGTATATACAATTCTAGCTGAAGCGCTTTTAAACGCATTCATGACTGCAAAAATGTTAACGGAAATCGAAAAGGCCAGCGTGCATGAAGGCTATATCAATGGTAATCTTCCGTCGCATTTCTAAGGCGCAACGATACAACTATTTGAACTCTCCGGAATGCGTGAGGTATCACGCCGCATTTGAAGGCGTTTTCAAAACAGCCAAGTTCCGATACCCGGATTATCGTTTTGCATAGTTCATAGTATTTTGTTTTCATTTCTAACCACTTGTTTATTATAATCCTCCTATAAAAATTACCCATTCGCTATACACAATTCTAGCTGTAGCGCACTTTATTTATGTGTGTGAAAGAAGTGGTAAAAGTGGTGAATGTACCACTGCAAAAATGTCAAAGGAAAGCGACAAGCCCAGCGTGCATGAAGGCAGGCCCGGTACAAGGCGGGGATACTGGGTCCCTGGTACCGGAGCCCGGGCCCCGGAGGGGGCTCGTGTTACCCGTGAAAAACCACTACGAATTCATATGCAACCCTTGTTTCGTAAGAAAAAGTGAAAAATTTACCCTAAAAATTTCGCAAAAGGTGAATAGATTTTCAGAAACACGCTGGGGCACTGTAGAATTCTTCTTAAATTTTCAAAGAAGTATACTTTTAAAAATAAATGGGGGAAAAAACACGTTTAGAGGTCCCTCAAGCGTTCTGAATGGCGAACGTTGAAAATTGATATTTTAGCGAGAGTTTTGTAGTGTCAGGGAATTTTTATTTTGACGATTTCTCCTTGAAAATGCCAAACCGGGTCTAATTGACCCGACTATTTCTTGTGGGAGAATTACATACGGCGAAAGAGGAGGGGGAGGGGTAGAAAGCGATATAGTATGTCATCAGAAAAGTGAAAATTTCAAACAATGTAATTCTCGCCCTCAAAAACATCGCAACAACATTGATCATACTTTAAGAACGACCAAAATCAATGAATTTAGATACGGATCAATTAGACCCAACTTGGGACTAGGTGTATAAAACAAGTCTTGTGGATCTAAGAACTTATAACACCGCAATTGCCAAGTTTCATCGTCCAGGTGGAAAATGAACCCGAGGGTCATAAACCATTTTAAATCTCCACAAGACAATGCACCTGCTGTGCTAAGGAAGAACGCCGTATGAACATTCGAAAGTTGCCAAATTTTCCCCGATAAAACATGTATTTTTGAAAACATTCATGCATATTTTCCCTTAAAATTTTCAGATATTTTAAATTAAATTGCGTACAGAATTTTCCGAAAATTTTGGAAAAAAAAATATTCACACTTTCCCAGTAAATTCAGTTTTTATCGAAGGAAACTTGGCAACGTCTAAAGGCTCTTACGGCGTTTTTCCTTAGCACGAAAGAACAGGAGCTGATCCCCTCCCCCTCACCTTCGTTGAAACGGGCACATGAAACCGGTGCGGCATGCAAGGAGTTATTTGAAACATTTTCGGCTTTACCGTGAAATAAACCGAATGATGCCTACATCCCATCTAGGCGGACGCCCTCGCTTTGATGGCGGGAGCGGGCGGGTGCGGGCCTCTCTCAAAAGAGCGCAAATTCAAATTTGGCGGGCGCGAGAAGGACCGACAGAAAACGAACTGATCCTCGGCACGAAGCGAACCGGATCGAAGGAATGTGAACCGGAATATCGGAACGCGCCGGCAGAATTCGTCGTTGTCGAAGATGCCTACACCGCCATTGTAGTTTATTGTGCGGAGCTCGTTGTGCGTCCATTTGAATTTGTGATGTGAATCCGTCTACATCTTCGACATCCTAGTGTTTTCCTCAAAATTTCACCATGAGCGGTGGCATGCCGGAGTTAGGGAGCAAGATCAGCTTGATCTCCAAAGCTGATATTCGTTATGAAGGGAAATTGTTTACAGTGGACGCGACGGAATGCACCATAGCCCTCTCAGAAGGTAAGCCCCGATTTCACCTACTTTAATGCCTGAAACCCTTCATTTCTCCCTCTCAGTTGATTATTTCTCCACCGTCCAGTAATTGCCTTTCCCATTACTTTATCTCACTTCTTAAGTTTCCGCACTATTCTGATGTAAGTCCGGAGACAAACACAGTCATGGACCCACTTTCCTCCCAGTCCCATCTCCTGGCTAGGATTTCGTGTTTCTTTTGTCATAAGAAGTAGAACTTATTCGCCGGTTTCAAGTTTTCTGAGATCTCTGCTTTATGCGCAGGTTTTGTATCATTACTCGTCCTCCCTCACATCACCCTGTAAGTATTTCTTCCTGTTTGAAGAGGTTCTTTGAGTCGATGAACTCAATTTCTCTGATAAACATGGTTAGGCCTTTACTGGTGAGCCTATTCTTTGTGATGCATTTGCATGTTGATCATGAGATCACGATTCATAGGTTCTTGTATCTGTATTTGCACGCTCAGGATGATCGTAGCTGAAGTTCCGTACTCATATTCATCATCCATCGTTGCTCTTAATTAAGGGCTTACTATTCTGTTTGACGGCTGTTTTGCTCGTTATGCGAGCGAGTTGGGTACTGTACGTATGAGCTCTAGTTTAACACTTCCAGCAGTGCAGACGCTTGAGTATTTAAATGGTGCATTTCTAGTTGCACTATTGCTGCACTAAAGAGGTATTCCGGGTTATGTCGTGTGCCAACTCTAGTAAAAGGTTACTTCCTCTGCTAAGTACTTATTAGTAACCCTTCCTTCATTTTTCTGCAAGTGGTTCTTGGAAAACTCCTTTCCAGGGTCATACTGCTCTTTTGCAACTTTTAACCAGCTCATTGACCTATTTTACCATATCATGCATTGTTACTGTGCTCGGATTTTCCCAATCCTGATGATTTTTCTGCTGTTCGGAAACCTGAGTCAGGAATTGGAGCGGTACCCTGTAGACTTGCTTGTTGAGGAGATAGTGCCATGTATATCAAGATGCCGTTTTCAGTTCATGTATTTTCATGTGACTCATCTTTGCTGATCCATCTACCTTACTCTTCAGTGTAGCTTTGTTCTTCATAAAAGTTCAAGTCTTGGTTCCTTCTCCTCTCCATGGGTGTGAAGTAATTCAGGGCTCAGTGCGTAAATGTGTCGAAATGGAATGATTGTTTCGAAATTCCCCAGAAATGAGTTTTAGCCGGGAATACTTTTGGAACAACTCTACTGCCAGGGAATTCCAACTTTCAAGTTAGTTTCATGAGAGCTATCAAGAACCCTACACCTATCCAGTCCTGCATCAGGTTGCTAACTTTTTTATTTGTTGACACTTCTCCCAATTCTAAAGCCTTGCAGCTGCCCGTGTCTCTCAAGATTTTGCTGAATTTCTATTGTGAGAAGTTTCTTTCTGTTTCTTAGCCGGATTTGTACTTGTACATAAGTATGGTTTCCTCCTGAAGTAACTGCATCTTTCCATGAACCTTCCCTTTTTTTAAGGGAATTCGTTCATCACATGTTCAGACGATTCTCTAATTCAATGAACAGGACTAACTCTTATCCCCAGTGCTGTAGGAATGTATGTATCAATTTTTTGAATGGTGTTGATTCAAGGTTATTTAGAAATTGACAGTCTTTCAATATTGTGAAGAGCCCTAGGTTAAAAGATGTTACTCTGTCTGATGGAAACGATGGGCCAAATATGTTTTTCCTGAGCAAGATAGCTCCATGTAGATCAGGTTCGATATCAGGGCGCAGTTTATTTCTAGAATTATCATTGTTTAAATTGAGCACCAAGACACATTCAGTGAAAAGTCTTGAGCGCACCATGATTAAAACCCCAATCTGAATGTAATATTTGGAAGGCCCCAAAAGATGTTGTTCACTAACTCCATGTCCAATTTTTCCTGTCATGTGGAGACATCATTTTTCATTAATTTTTATCTTTCATCTAAGCATCTTGACATCGTGCTTCATGATCATCATTTTTGCTCCTATATCCTGTGGTACATCATTAAAACCCTACAGGGGTAGATTCTCATCTCTGGTTTCCCTCTAGTTGAGTAAGAGGAATGTAAGTTGGTTGTACTCTCTCAACAAAGTCACTCCTGCTCAACTGTAACCAGATTTCTCGAAGTTTGTGCTAAGTTTGTCTTTATAGTCTCCATGAAACTGAAGCTTGCTCTTATTTTGTGCATGATTCAGTTGCTTTCCGCTGGAGGTATAGAAAAGTCTTCATAAACTCAGATGACTGTCCATGGTCATTATGAACCTGTCGTTGACAACACTTCTTTTTCCTGCCTAGGGTATATCCTGAAACAATCTTCTAACAAAATTTTCAGTTTGTTCTGCCGAATATATCAAACATTGTAATTAGCATTTTATCATGAAACCCCAAGGCTACGCTTTCAATGTTACAAATAGCTCTGAAAGTGCCAAATTTTACTAATTTTGGGGAATAGCAATAAGTGTCAGCTAAACCGACATATGATAGCTTAACCGCCTAGATGACCACTCGGCCGACTACCGGGCCCAGTCTGGGGCCGGCCCCAGCCTGGGTACGGGAATCGGGAATCGAGGTGTTGGCTGGAGTCCTGGAGGATGCCAGGGAGCTACTCCTACTGGTCAATACCGAGACGCCCGGGGCGGAAATCAAAATCCTCTGGATCCTGGTTAGCCCCAAGTCCGGAGGGCTAAAATGGTTAAGTTGTCATATCTTCGAGAAGATTTGCTACTTTTTTCTCCCGGTTACACACTAAAAAAAAAGAGCAATAATTGGTTTGTTAGGAAGCATCCAAGAGGAAATTTTACCGGTAGATGTGCTGACATCTCAAGATACGTGTTTCAGCTTAGATTTTTTCTCAAAAGCCTGAACCTGTAATGATTTATTTAAATGAGACATGGATAACTCAAAGCAATTATGCAATATAATTTTTGTGTTGTGAAGAAGCATCTAATAAGTGATTTTATGGGAAGGTGTGCTGACATCCCAAGGTACAACACTCCGAACAATTTAAGTAACGAAAGAACACTACAGTTTGTACTTCAGATGAAAAAAAGGATTTTCATTCACAGGACCCCATAGCCACGCTTTCAATGTTGTAAATAGCTTTGAAAGTGCCAAATTCCAATAACTTTGGGGAAAAACAATCACTGTCTTGTAAGGAAGCATCTAAAAAAGTAACTTTACCTGTAGATGTGCTGACATCTCAAGATACATGTCTTTAAGTTTTGTTGATTTCGAAAAGAAAGCCCTATAGGCTTGAACCTATATTATTCCTTGTAATTAAGACTAGCATGACTCAAAAAAATCAGTATGACTTGATAGCCTCCATAAGACTGAAGTATGCACACATTTTTGTGGATGATTCAGTTGCTTTCCGCTGGAGGTATAGAAAAGTCTTCATAAACTCAGATGACCTTTCATGATCATTATGAACCTGTCGTTGACAACATTCTTTTCTCTCGTATCAATATTATATCCTGAAACACTATTGATGAAAATTCCAGTTCGTCCTGCAGAGCATGTCAAACATATTGAAATGATCATTTTATCATGATACCCCAAAGCCACGCTTTCAATGTTACAAATAACTTCGAAAGTGCCAAATTTTAATAATTTTGGGGAACAGCAATAATTGTCTTGTTAGGAAGCATCTAAGAGGAAATTTTACCCATAGATGTGCTGACATCTCAAGATACATGTTTCATCTTAGATTTTCTCTCAAAAGCTTGTACCTTTAATGTTTTATGTAAATGAGACATGGATAACTCAAGGAGATCACCAAGTCGTGATTGCCTCCATGAAACTGAAGTATGCTCATACTTTTTGGGTATGATTCAGTTGCTTTCCGCTGGAGGTATAGAAAAGTCTTCATAAACTCAGATGACCTTTCATGATCATTATGAACCTGTCGTTGACAACATTCTTTTCTTTTCTACCAATATATCCTGAACCACTCCTCTGGAGAGAATTTCAGTTCATTCTGCAGAACATGTCAAACATATTGGAATAAGCATTTTATCATGAAACCCCGAAGCCACGCTTTCAATGTTACAAATAGCTTGGAAAGTGCCAAATTTTACTAATTTTTGGGGGAAAGCAATAATTGTCTTGTTAGGAAGCATCTGAGAGGAAATTTTACCTGTAGATGTGCTGACATCTCAAGATACACGTTGAAGCTTATATTTTCTCCCAAAAGCGTGAACCTTTAATGTTTTATGTTAATGAGGTATGCATACCTAAAAGAAATCATATTGTCTTGATAGCCTCCATAAAACTGAACTACGCACTTATTTTCGTGGCTGATTCAGTTGCTTTCCGCTGGAGGTATAGAAAAGTCTTCATAAACTCAGATGACCTTTCATGATCATTATGAACCTGTCGTTGACAACATTCTTTTTCTTTCGTATCAATATCATATCCTGAAAAACTCTCTTGATGAAAATTTCCGTTTATCCTGCAGAGCATGTCAAACATATTGAAATGAGCATTTTATCATGATACCCCAAAGCCACGCTTTCAATTTCACGAATAGCTTGGAAAGTGCCAAATTTTAATAATTTTGGGGAATAGCAATAATTGTCTTGTTAGGAAGCATCTAAGAGGAAATTTTACCCATAGATGTGCTGACATCTCAAGATACATGTTGAAGCTTATATTCTCTCTTTTAAACATTAGCTCTGAATGTTTTATGTCGATGAGACATGGATGACTTGAAGAATCAGTATGTCTTGATAGCCTCCATGAAGTTGAATCTTACTCTTATTTTTTGTGGATGATTCTATTCAATCCTCTAACAAAAAATTCAGTTTATTCTGCACACTATATCAAACATTGTAATGAGCATTCCATCATGAAACCCCAAAGCCACGCTTTCAATGTTACAAATAGCTTCGAAAGTGCCAAATTTTAATAATTTTGGGGAATAGCAATAATTGTCTTGTTAGGAAGCATCTAAGAGGAAATTTTACCCATAGATGTGCTGACATCTCAAGATACATGTTTCATCTTAGATTTTCTCTCAAAAGCTTGTACCTTTAATGTTTTATGTAAATGAGACATGGATTACTCAAGGAGATCACCAAGTCGTGATTGCCTCCATGAAACTGAAGTATGCTCATACTTTTTGGGTATGATTCAGTTGCTTTCCGCTGGAGGTATAGAAAAGTCTTCATAAACTCAGATGACCTTTCATGGTCATTATGAACCTGTCGTTGACGACACTTCTTTTTCTTTCCTAGGGTATATCCTGAAACAATCTTCTAACATAATTTTCAGTTTGTTCTGCAGAATATATCAAACATTGTAACTAGCATTTTATCATGAAACCCCATTGCGTTCTCTTTCACAAGTTTTAAATTCTCTGAGTTTTCTTCGAACGATCCTGAAAGGGAGGAGCAAACTCACAATAAAGCTACCATGAAGTTAAGCTTTTTACATACTTCCAAGTAAATGAAATGAGAAGGCTGTTTAGAGGAAGGTAAATTGTGCAATTGCCACATGGAATCGTCTTCGTTTTATCTATTTCTTTACTTTTTTTCTTCTTGTAAATTTCATTAATTACTCATACCATCCCAGCTTCGTGCGGTTGGCATCGAGACACATTATCACAAACGGGAAAAATTGAAGGCATTCAAGCTTTCTCAATGACTAGATCCGGATGCAACTATTTGTGCCCTGAGGATGTCCGTGTTGCATACACAAAAAATTTCAGGCGCTCTGGTTTTTTAGGCACAACTCATGACTGCGGCTGTTTGTTCTCGATGGTTTTCTACATTAAATCATCAACAGTGCTTACTATAATATCCTCAACATTCGTATCAGCCGTGTAGCATCATGGCAGCGTTGCTAAACTGCAAATTAAGGAAATGTAATCTGTAAGTTGCAGAAATGATGTGGGCGATGTCTTCATGGTGACGTCTGTGAATCCTGCGAACTACCGATTACATTTCCTTAATTAGCCCAGTTTTCCACATGCCATGGTGCCATGGTTTTTCAGCCATGTTGCCACACGACTGAGCCGAATATTAAGAATATCATGGTAAACACTACTAATAATTTAACGCAGAAAATCATCCAAAACGAACAGCCGCAGTCATCAAACGTAGTGCCTTAGAAAACCAGAGCGCCTGCAATTTTGTATGTATGCAACACGGACATCCCGAGAACACGAATATTTGCATCCAGATCTAGTCATTGAAAAAGCTTGAATGCCTTCAATTTTTCCCGCTTGTGATAATGAAATGTGTCACGCCGCCAACCGCACGTAGCTGGGATGGTTTGAGTAATTAATGAAATTTACAAGAAGAAAAAAGTAAAGTAATAGATAAGACGAAGACGATTCCATGTGGCAATTGCACAATTTACCTTCCTCTAAACAGCCTTCTCATTTCATTTACTTAGAAGTATGTAAAAATCTTAACTTTATAGTAGCTTTATTGTGAGTTTGCTCCTCCCTTTCGGGATGGATCAAAGAAAACTCAGAGAATTTGAAACTTGTGAAAGAGTACGCAGTATAAACCCTAGTTTAACTTGAGATGGAAAAAAACTTACTCTCCATCTGAATGTATGATGGTTCATCATTTACATCACACCTTATTATATTTTTTAGTGATGAAATATTGTCACTGTAAGTGGTCTAACTGCTCTCTGCATCTAGCCTAATTTTTGCCCTCTTGTTTTGCAGTGCGCTCATTTGGTACTGAAGACCGTGAAACAAGATGTGTCGTACCAGCCCAACCTCAGATCTACGACTACATCCTGTTCAGAGGATCCGACATCAAAGACATCCGAGTTCTCAACACCCAGCCACTCAACGATCCTGCTATTGTTCAAGTGAGTCCATATCCACTATTCTCCCGAGTTTCCGAAGATGACAGTAATGCTCAAATTTTCAAAGAAGAGATTATTTCTAAATTAGTTTATTATAATTTTACATGAGATCGCCGCTAAATTTCTGTATTTCCGGCGATTTTGCGGTTATTATCCCATCATATTTTTTCAAACAAGTCACTTATTTTCTGTCACATTGAGCTGATAAGTGCGTAATTGCTTTTGATTTTCGTAATCCACTAGGAGTGTCTCGTATTTCTTGCTATAATCAGATAAAAGTAGCATCTGTCGAGATCACAACTGTAATGAACTTCCAAATCTAAGTTGAACACAATAAGTTTTTTAAGGGTTTCATAGCCAGCCCTCTCTGGGCTTATTTCGCCCATCCTGTTGTAGAAGTGGCATTGTTCACTCTCCGTCGAAGTTCCTTAATTCTCACCAGTAACTAAATTTTTACATTATGAAGGAACTTGCCTTTTGTAAGTCCCCATGTTCACATCAAGAATGTTAATGTGCGTTTTATTCAGCAGGTCTCCGCTCCCCCGGCTCTGTCGCAGCCCAACTACCCGGCGATCCAACAGCACTCTGGGTTCTCAGCACACCCTATGATGGGCCAGGCGCCTGGGCACGGTGTCTACCAGAATTACAACCCAATGGCCTCGGGTATGAATTTAGGTCCTCGTCAGGCTCAAAGCCAAACAAGTGAGTTGGAACGTTCCCCCCAACCAGGGCCCCCTCACCATCCCCCCGGGCCTCCGGGTCCTCCCGCCCACCATCATCAACAACAACCTCAACCCCCTCATCCAACCGACAATGGTACGTACTTGATTTAGATTAAACCTGCCCGCTTGCTGGCTTGCTCAACAGCATGCCCCGCTTCAAGCACTTTGGCTGGCTTCCGCTGCACTTCAGATCCTAGTAGACCGGTAGTATCAATTTTCTTTGAAACCCTGCTAAAAAATAATGCAAGTCTTCATTATTTCTCGGAGAGGCATTTGAGAGAATAAGCTTTTGTGCGTCTCCCAATTCCTTGAGAATTTTCTCGAAGCTTTTTTGTAGTTAGTGCTTGCATCCTTCGTCTCTTTTTTTTTTAAGATTTCCCGTTTCCTCCTCTCCTCACTAAGTACACCTCTCTTCCATCCACCAATCATAATTTCCATAAAGTCATTCTTAATAAAATCATTTTCATCCTGAAACGCTTTAATTCCTTAAGAAAAACTTAGTGTGTATCAATTGCATTTATTAGTCCCTTATTCTCATTCCATCAATCAAAATTATTTTTGAAATCGAGTCATCCTTGTAAATGTAACTGAATGCTCTCCTGAAAACAATTCGATGTTCAATCCTGTTAAATCTCCTTATCCTTGCTTGTCAGAATTCGTAGTGTGCAGTAGCATGCATACTCCGTGAAGTCTCATCGCTTATGTTTGCTGCGTCTAGTTCCTACATATATTCTGCTTAGCTTGATGAACTTTTAATCATAGCTCTTATTTATCACACACGGCACTTTTAAGATCCTAGCATTATTTGTAGGTTTTCAGTGCAATGTAATATCCTCATCAGATGGAATTTTCATAATGTTTGAAAGTCCTGTGTAAAATACTTCTAGAAATGCTGTGATGCCATTTTTGTTGAAAATAGACTCAGGAATAACTTAAGCTTGGTTAGTGTATTTAGAGTAAGACAGTGGAAAAATAATTTTTGTCCTATGTTGTGCATGTCAAAGAGAGAAAAATTTATTCTGACGTGTTACGAATGTAGATTTTTTTTGGGGGGTTGTCAGCAAACCCAGGTACCTAAGGCATGACCTTAAAATTTCAGCTGATTTTAAGTTGTTAATAGCTCCACTTTTAAAACCTGTTTCTTTCCTTTGCATGTTTGGTGACCAACAGAAAGTTGGATGCATTATTTTTCATCGCACGAATAATTTAAATCCTGAGTTTAAACAGAAATCCCCTCAGATAAGTTGAAATTTTGAAGTCATGAATGGACCTGTTGCAAACTTTTGCTAGAGCAAAAATAAGAGTTGTTTCTTGTAGATAATGCCTCAAAAATCACGATGAGCGCATCGGCAAAGTCTGAAATGCACTCATAACTTCACAATCTGCGTAAGAAATTTGCGTTTTTTTAAGCTTCCCGCTTCAAAAACGATACTACGGCACAGGTGAACATTTTGTTAGAGGAGTCGCTCCATCGTCGGCGATATTCATCATGGCCGACGCTTGCGCGCAGTTCCGCGCGTAATTCGAGGAGAGTTCAAGGTCAATCAATTCGGGCGTGGAAAATATGAACGTTAACACACCGATTGTTATCTGGTCTAATCCAGTTCAGGTGTTATCTCGTCCCATCAAACGTGTTTTGGCGGATTGGCGTCGGCCATGATGATTATTGCCGACGATGGAACGACTCCTCTTACAAAATGTTCACCTGTGCCGTAGTATCGTTTTTGAAGCGGGAAGCTCAAAAAACCGCCAATTTCTTACGCAGACTGTGAAGTTATGAGTGCATTTCAGACTTTGCTGATGCGCTCATCGTGATTTTCGAGGCATTATCTATAAGAAACAACTCTTATTTTTGCTCTGGCAAAAGTTTGCAACAGGCCCATTGAAATACACAATTTGCTGTTACTATTTATTCACAAACTAAGTTGAATCCAAAAGTTTGAAAAAGTGACTCAGCGAGAGAAAGGAGATTTTTTACTGCTTGTATCATAAAAGATTTAGCTTTTCAAATTTACCAAAATAAAATCAAAATTCTATAGATGATGGAAAACACTTAGCAGAATTTGATGAGAACTGATAACCCAAGGAAGTAAATTTCTCTCATTTCTTTTCTCTTTACTCCTTGTGTGGGTTACCTTTTTTTTGTAAATGACAGTGAGGTTTATGTAGGTGCTTTTTTTCGAAATGAATTTAGCGTCAAAGTCCAGTTTAGTGTTGAATGTTCTAGATTTGATCGGAGGCTCATCCCGGTCATCAACCCCGGCAGTTGGAGCTCCTAGTCGCAAATCTCCCAGTCTGGACCAAAACATTCAAGCAAGTAATCAACAAAATCGTCTGAACAAGTCTCAGTCGAATCAGCATCACTACCGTGATAAGTGAGTGGCTTCCTATATTTGTCTCAATGTGTTCATATTGCTTGTAAAATTTCAGTTTTTTTTCACTATCCTCACATGCAGTATGTTCATCACTGGCCATTGAAAAGAAACAGATCCTTATGATAATGAATGTCTAAAATTTTTTTTATTACTTCAAGAATGAGTTAGTTGCGCTGGTCACAAAATTGTGTTTAAGGCTAGATTTTTATATATTAGCTAAAAATACTAAAATTTGTGTGTCTGTGTCTGTCGCAGCTTTCTACGTTCAATATTCACCGAGATATCGCCTATTAAAAAGTCTGGTTTTTGACATCATCCACCGCTGTAGTAAGACCCTTGGTTTCTTCCACCTTGTTTTCATCAGTCGGTGTGACGCACATTAGCACTGTTAATTCAACATGAAACGCGGATAAAAGCAAAGTGGAAGAAACCAAGGTAAGACCCTTGGTTTCTTCCACCTTGTTTTCATCAGTCGGTGTGACGCACATTAGCACTGTTAATTCAACATGAAACGCGGATAAAAGCAAAGTGGAAGAAACCAAGGGTGTCACTACCATGGTGGATGACGTCAAAAACTCGACTTTTCAAAGGGCGATATCTCAGTTAATACTGAACGTAGAAAGTTGCGGTGTGGACAGATCTTATTATTTTCAGTTTATCCACAAGAATCAAGTATCAAAACACGATTCTGTGACCAGGGAAACTGACCCATGACAAACTTTAGACTTTATACTGCAGATTTGAAGTTTGGCAGTAGATCCAAAGCTTAGTTCAAAGATCATGGGAAAGCTAAGGAAATTTTTGGATCACAGTAAAACAAAAAAATGACAGAAAGTCAGGGAATGGGTAAATGAAGTGTGGAAACTCAGTGAAATTAATTCTTTCACAAGTTCATGCTTTTCGTTTGGGAAGGTGCCATGAAGCATGAAATTTTATTTACATATTTAGAGAGCTGATTTTGCAATCAATTTCAGTCTTGTATATTATGTACCACAGCTGTATGAAAGTCCAGGTGACTGGCATACCTCTGCTATGCCAAGACGTGTAGTGGCCAAAATGTATCCTAAATGCCCTGATCTCTCCGAGAATTTTCGATCTTTCATTCGTATTGTGTTTTGTTTACAGCCAAGGCTTCAACAGAGGAGGATACAGGGATAACTACAACAGGGGAGAGCTCCGAGATCGGGACTATAGAGACAACAGGGATCGTGACAATTTCAGGGAAAATAGAGACCGAGGAGACTTCAGGGATAATAGAGACCGTGGTGACTACAGGGATTATCGTGATAGAAATAATTATGTAAGTAGCTTTATTCCTTCCTGCTGGATACCCCATCCACTAGGATCTACTAGTTCAAGAAAGTTTTGCACAACTTAAGAAGTCGTCAAATATCCTTGTATCCCTTTATTGCATAGCGTTGCATGAAAGCAACAAATGGTTTTCAGCTTTATTTCTATGCTGGAGTATTAAATTGAATCAAAGCAAGAAATGATTTTTGGGGAGCATTATAAGTCTGATCTCCTAACTTAAAAAATTACTACAAAAATCGATTTCAACTTACTCTATTGTCGAAAAAATACTCTACAATGTAGATTTCCTCACCGAAATCAATGATTAGCTCATGCAATAAAGGGTTAAAGTCCTTAGAAGTGTTTGGACCCCAGAGAAAGCTATAAAAATATTTAAGGAGGCCTTAAATGTGTTGATTATTAGTTTGAATCTTAAGAGCTGAGGTTTTTCCTCCATTTCAGTTTCGGTAGCTAATCCTTTTAGTACGACTTGAGTGCCCAATAAAATTCGTTATTCCTATTATTCGTATCTGATCGTCCCTCTCAACTCAACTGTCTTGAGTAATCCTCTGAACATCAGTAGTGGCCGGTTCGATAGCTCAGCCTTGGGTAAATTTTTAGAATGACTTCGCTAGCAAGTCCAAGGACATTGAAAGGAAGGAATATTCCCCTATTCTAACACCCAAAATAAAACACTTAGTTGTGTTGGTCCTGTCTCGGCCTTGTCAGAAAGTTCGAAACCAAATCGTCAGCTTTGTCTAATCATCTTACCGAGACTGAAACAGAACCAATCCAACAAAGCGGTTTGGCCACTTTAGATGCTATTTTGTGGAAGAGCATTATTTAAATTTTTTTCTCTTTTCTGTATGAATTTCCATTCTTTTAGAGCTAACCACTGCCATTTCTTCGCTGCCCGCATGGCGAACACTTCACTTTAGTCTGATTGCGAACCCACTATTTGTATTTTTCTGTGAAGCCTACTTTCTGTTGCCAAGATTTCTATGCTGACAAATCTGCTCCTGATTTTTTTTCAGTCTGGTGGACAAATGTTAAACCGAATGCCAAATGCTGGTCGAGGATGGGTTCAACGAGGAGGAGTAAGGCAATGGGGTAACGGACGAGGGGGAAGACCGCAAGCTTACAATAATCGACCTGCTGGTCCTCTAGGTCCTAACCAAAAACCCAGGAACAAGATTAAATTCGATAAGGAATATGATTTCGAACAAGCCAATTCTCAGTTCGAAGAACTAAGGAGTCAATTAAGCAAAATTAAAATCGGTAGGTGAAAATTCTCTTCCCTGTGTAAATGTATTCTATGCCAACGTATGTATTTTACTCGATTGGCAGATTCAACAGAACTGTTTATTTTTAGCAGCACCTGTGAAGGCTGTAATGATGCAGCTCACCTGGTCATACTAATTAAAGGCTGAAACTGACGCTCTCATTATTTTTACAGTACCTTATGAAATTGCTTTCATTTTGGGAATCGCTCAGTAATCTCAAGTTTGTACAGGAATAAAGTTAATTGGAATATTAGACAAGATGGGAATTTGAGCATCTTGATTCGTTTCTGAACCTAAATTTTATGGAAAACATGATTCGCACAATGAAAATTACGAAAATCAACTCTTAACTAAGTTATTAACATTTTTAGTTCATATTGGCTATGGGAAATTGGAACTCTCTCTGCTCTTAAGATAAACATTAGTCTGCTTGTATCAAATTGCGCACTACAACAGCCTAAGCAGTCTTTTCAATCAAAAAGTGTTCCTTCCCCGCTTTGTGTTGTCCATAGCATTAACAGTGCGCAACATCCGAGTCTTTTCAATCAAGTAGTGTTCCTTCCCCGCTTTGTGTTGTCCATAGCATTAACAGTGCGCAACATCCGAGCTGAAGCTCCAAGATTGAGATAGTCTTATTTTAATTTTGCAGAGATTGCAACAGTAACGTGTTTTGCACGATTTGACTCACGTAGCCACTATTTTATTATGAGAGGGAGGTTTTAAGCATAAAAAACCGTTAAATATGTTATTAAGCAGTTACTTTCGGTAATTATTGTTGCACAAGTAGAGGTCAATATGAAATTAGGATCAGGAAACATGTATCAGCATGCTGTAGTTGACACCCTGTCTAGTGGCTCATTAGCATGACTTCACATGATGTATGTAGTTGCAGCATACTGGCTATTAGTGTGAGCACCAGGGATTATTTCCAAGTGCTCATGTGCAGACATTCGGCTCCTGTGGGCACATGATTCACTTGCGGCCTCAACGAAGCAACAATGCGTGTTTATTAAGTTCGTGGATCACATAATCTATTCATCCAACATTTATGTTGCCCATTTGTCTTGATCTTATTATTTCTAATGATCTCTTTTTCTCTCAGATGGTGAAGCAGCTGCTGTAAGAGTTAACGGTGAGACTGACAAGAAAGATGATAGTGGAAATGAAACCGGAATTGGTGAAGGCGAAACAGAAAGTGAAGAGGCAGAATCTGCTTTCTATAACAAAGCTAAATCATTCTTCGACAATATCAGCTGTGAAGCCATTGAGCGAAGTAAAGGGTATGTATTGAATAAACTTCCGAGTATCAAAGAATTGTCCGATGAACATAAATTATTATCTAGGATGAATCATAATCCTCAGAATGACCCATGAATACCATTAAGCTATGGTGTTTGCAGCTACGCTGGTGTTTACGAGCTGATGGCGCTCCAAGCATGAGTTGTCTAGACAGTGTCAGTGATTTTGCCAACAGCTTTAAATTTCTGAAAATACTTACTTTACTTTTTTCTAATTTTTTTTTTCTCTGAATTTTGAAACAATTTGTTCGATACATTGAGAAAGAAAAACTGAGAGCTCCCTGTGAAATTTAGATGCCATCTTGTGCGGCAAAAAGGGGGGAAATCCACAATACAAAGAACCGTGCACCACAATCGATTTTTAATTTTTCCATTGCATCCAATTCCTCTCAAGATGCTGATCTAAAGTCATCTTTGCGTAAACTTTCAACAATGCACAGTTTTTGCACAATGTGCCTGTCGTTATTAAATTATTTGGCCATAAAGTGTTAGAAAGATTCGTCATTTCAGCCCTTGAATGAACAGTTGGCTGTGTGTCAACAAGAAAATCAGAGAAACTCCAAGCGGCAGTCTCATCTCGGATTCCGTGTGCCTTTTTGCTTTACTATCCAAATCAGTTTCGTGAGGAGCATAAGAACAGGAAAGTTGGAGAAATATGGTGAACGTCAAACGGTTGAGAGCGGGAGGGAGATAGCCCCAGAGTAAGCAGGAACCGATAAGAAGGCAGACACGTGCTACGTTTTTTCTTTTTTACACCAGGCCTGTTCTCGAATTTCTTGTTCTTTTTGACTCTTAATCGCCAAATAATTCAATAATGAAGGGCGTATACTGCAAAAATGGTGCATCATAGAAAGTTGGCGTAATGATGACTTTTAATCAGCATCTTGAGAGGAATTGAATGCAATAAAAAAATTTAAAATCGATCGTAATGCACTTTCTCATAAGGAGTGTCCGGGGTCCTTTCTTCATGGAAAGTCGCAATCCTTCTGAAAAAGGTGAAGACAATTTTTTTAAACGTGAATGTGAGATGGTCAAGATGTAGGTGATCATTTGATGCAGAACATTGCTGAGAATGGTTTGATGTTGTGAAAGACTCAGTCAATAGAGCACATGTAACAAGATAATTTGCGATTTCAAAATGCCTTGTCCTATTTCAGGAATTTATTTTGACACTAATTGGTTTAATTTATCGAATCCTTATTGTTCGGCGAGGATCTCAAAAAATTTGCCGAATTAGTCGCTGAAGTAATTTTAATAGACTTTAGTTTTGTTTTAAATTAAATAAATATAAAAATGATTTAAGTGTTCTGCATGATGATCTTACAGTTTTCTCCCATTGGAGCCAGCTGTTTTAATTTTTTGAATTATTTTTGCATGTGTTAATCATTACTTGACAACTTATCATTTATCATTGTTTCCAGGCGACTCCAGCGAGTAGACTGGAGACAGGAACGTAAACTCAACTCTGAGACTTTCGGAGTCACGCGGTCCTGGAGGGGCAATTTCAGGGGCGGAAACTTCCGAGGATACTACCCTGGGGCTGGCTACAACAACAATTATAACCGAGGAGGATATCATAGGCAACAAAATTACAACAACAGACCGCAGAACAGCAATAGAGGTGCTTTAAATTCGGAGAACCGTACTGAACAGAAGAGACCAGCGGCCGCCACCGCCGCAGCGGCAACGACAGCACCACCTCCCACTCCCACCACTGCCAACACTACCGCAGCCAGCGAGTAAGTACTCGCCTTTTCATTTCACCTGTATACAGAAATTTCCTTATGAAACCGTTTGTGTTCTACTCAAATTATCAGTTGATTCACGGTACCAAAACCTCCAGAAGTCAATCTGTGTGAAGATTACTTCTTTTTATCAATTAGTGCGCTAAGTAACTTAGTTCGGTAGGGGAAAAATTCTACTAACATGACTAAAATGAGTCTGTTATGTTTGTCACTAATTTGTGATTAATATTAGCGTACCAAGTAAATAATATTGCTGGGGAAAAAATGTACTAATGTGACACAGCTCCCTCCCCCTTTGCGTATGTGCAGGGTTGTTGCCAACCTTTGCTACAGGTGTATCACTAGGGTGTGACTTATTTTCGTCATGTAGGAAAATCGACGAGGTCTGGGTGGCAATCAATGCTATCTATGAAAATAATAGGCTGTATAAAGTTTGAGCCTCTTTGAAGCTTTTTTAGCTGATGCTCAAAGGGACCAAAACTACGGGCAAAATTACATTGGTTTAAATGGGCGGAAAAACGCCTGATCTACGCAAATGCGTTTTTTGGATCGAAACTGCGCTTGAATGAAGAAAACCGGACCAACTCTTAGAGAGGCAACTAAGGGCCCATTTGAAACGAGAAAATCACACTTTTGACCCATGGGTGAGGGTAGGGGGATCACTCGAGTGCAAGATAAAATATATACACCGATTTTGTTCAGGCTCGAGAAATAGTATGTGAGGCAACATTGTAAAGGGCCAAGTATAGTTCTCAAGGGCTAAAACAACTATTATACATTATTTTTCATCAAGTTGTGAGATAAGTTTGCCTCTTCAACTTCGGAACACTTATTTTGAGTTCTATCAGAAGAGTATTCTTAGCTCCGGGCGCGGCGCCTCCAAACTGGCTACACCGTGACCCCCCTGTGCCCACTTATGGGTCAAAAGTGTGATTTTTCTCATTTCGAATAGACCCCTAGATGCCTCTCTAAGAGTTGGTCAGGTTTTTTTCATTCAAGCGCAGGTTCGATCCAAAAAACGCATTTGCGAAGATCAGGCGTTTTTCCGCCCATTTAAACCGATGTAATTTTGCCCGTAGTTTTGATCCCTTTGAGCATCAGCTGAAAAAGTTTCAAATTGGCTCAACTTTTACACAGCCTATTATTTTCATAGATAGCATCGATTGCCACCCGGATCTCGTCGATTTTCCAACATGATGAAAATGAGTTGCACCCTAATGTATCACACATTGATTCATTTAATAGAAAAAGTTGGCAGATTGAATCTTTGTGAAGGTCCTTTGCAATGTTTCAACATTGTTAATGACCTGTTTATTTTTGTGTGATTAAATCTACCGAGTAAATGTCACGGATAAATCGAGAATTTTTTCCTTTGGACTGTTAGAAGGAGTAAAATTTCAAGGAAGATTTTCTGGCAGTCCATTTAATCCCTTAATTGTCCATAAAATTGATTAATGTAAAGGTATTAAGAGTAATTTTTTAAAGAGGAATCTCACTCATATTGTGTATTAAATAATGTTGTGCAATTTTTCTGTTTCAGTTGAATTTTAGGAGCAGATCATACTTAAAATGAAAGTCTGAACGTAGAGAGTATTAGTTATCGAGGTGAAGACAACCAAAAGAAGAATGTTTTTTTGAATCTGAACAAATTCGTCGAGTTATGATTGAATTATTTTTTTAATTTTCTCCATGCAAAATGTAAGTTACATGCAAATGGTTTTATGTACTTTATCTTTAATAGATTTATATTATTGTTTCAATGTATAGGATGAAATGTCATTTTTAAGTTTTGCTTGAGCTGTGTACAAGAAAGACGAATCAGTTAGACTGGATAAAGAATTGTACATGTTTCTATGGTAGGAGTCGGGTACAATGAGAGTATTCTAATGGTTCAACTAATTTTGTTTTTATACATGTTTTGTAATACTAAGGAAAAAGATTTCTCAAATAAGATATCGGGCAAAATGTGTACAAATGTATTTTTTCTCCTCTTGTTTGGAAAAGATGTCGATCGGAAGTTTCACGTTTAATTTTTTCAATGAAATCAGAATGAGAACGTTTTTATTTGAATTTTTCCCAAAGAAAGCCCGTCTTTTTGATATGACCTAATTTTAATTTGCCTAGTGTTGAATAAGTTGATTTACCCGTGGATTTTGTAGGAGCCACTTTTAATCTGCATGAAAGCTCCTGCATTATGTAATTTTTGTCAACTTGCCTAGTCAATTGATCAGTACATCGAACCGGAAGGTACATTTTAACACTGATATCCACAGAATGAAGTTACTGTATAAATTGGTGTTTAATCCTTGAGTTTGGAGAGCACTTGGCAAAGGCATTGATATGACAATATTACAAGGTAGTAAATAAAAGAAAGAATAGTCAGGAACAGAGAAATGAATTGTAGTTTGTCTTAATTTGACTTGTCCTAATATGAATGAAATTCCACGATTGCAAGAAGGTTTTAAGTTTTACGAAGTCTTGAAGTTACGTTTTCCTGAGCTGAAAGTTTGCCTTAATAAAGATAGAAATGCTCAAAAGAATTGTTGATGGGAAACTAATGTAGTGACACACCAAAGGGTGTTATTTGATGAAAGTTTGGGTTTCTGTCTTATCATGATGTAAATTTGAATGTTAGTAACGAAAGGAAAATATTTTATGCTGTGATTTATAAATTATTGTGTTAGGCAACATTCTTATGAAAATTTGTTTTGTGCTAGAACGCAAGAATAATTCAGGAATACATATGCAATCAGGTTCTTTCCCTCTTTAAGTCAAGGTTTTGAATTCGAGGATTGCTCTAATTTGAATGTCTGAAAAGTGTTTTAATTTACTCACATTGTGATACATGTTTCTTATAGACAGCAGGGCGAAATCCTAGACTTCTGTAAGTTCTACTGTCTTTTTATGTTTTGTGTTTTCGTTTAAGCGAAGATACTGAAATTTGATTGAAATTGAAAGAAAAAAATAAATTTTTCTTATCATGCAAACTCCAAATAGCCATTCAGGCAATTCTTCTTTTTTCCCTTTATATTTCTTCCTTTCCAATTCTTTGATGAATTTATCGTCCAAGAAAGAATACCACCCATGTGACATCCATGTTAAATAGGACTCAGTGACTGTAATATTCTCTGTGCCTTTGGAGAAATGAACCACTGAATTGTCTACATAAAACTGAGTTGAGCAAAGAAGCATCGCATTACTGCTTGAAAAGATGCTGTCGATCCGTTCCCGAGTCAGAATGCTCGAAATTTCTTCTTTTAGTTCAGTGGGCTGTATTGTTTCTTGGATAACAAAATGGTACTTCATCCGTAATTGAAATATTTTGACTGTAGAATGGGTATTAATTTATTATAGGAATAGTAACATCATTAGACCTCACAGGACAGGTCTTCGATAGTTTTCCTTTAATCTTGCCTTAAGATGTTGGTCAGAAGTTGGATTAAGGGAAGATGAGGAAGTTAGTTCTTTCTAAGTAATAGTACCTGATATCAGTTACTGTTTGTAGCTCTTCTGGTGTGCAATCTGGCATCAATAAATATTTTAAAACCAAATTTCCCTAATCAATCCTTATAGGTTATTGGATTGGATTGTTCCCAAAAGACTGATGTAAAATTTCCTTCTGCAGTTGAATCATGCTCTAAACTATCATATATAATCAAGGTTCGAATGAGCCTCTCGCCTATGTTAGAAAAGTACACCTAAACAAGAATGTATTTGAAGCATTTTGAAAGTGCATTAGACATAATGAACAATCCTTTCATGAATGACTTTTGCTTCCTTTAGTCAATATTTTCAACAACAAGGAGCAGAACCTTAAAGTTGGTCCTTCAAAAGTAGGGTTTTCCTGAACTCAGCAAATCTGGGCCCGAATTTTGTTGGCAGGTTTACTTCAGGCCGCAAGATAAAGTGAGCCTGTTGACTTCCTTCTGCAATCGCTGAGTAATAGTTTGCACCTTTGATGATCTGAGGATAGCTCAAACTCGCTGTAAAAAAAGGTCAACCTGCTTACAGCTTGAGTTTAGGATATATTATTCTCAGCTTACGGAAGAAATTAGACGTTAGGTTTCATAACCTGAGATAGAATATGGCCAACCAAACTCGGGCTTGGAAAGGATTAGCACCTGTAGCCTGCAGCGATTAAAGCCAGTAAACCAACAGTAAGGAATTTCAGGTTTAAATCACCTCAAATGGTCATGACGTCACTTAATTTCATTTGCGTAAACCTGTGGCAGCAACCCAGGGAATTTGTAATTCTCTCTTTAGTTAGATCAATTCTCTTGTCAGCCACTGAATACTTGCAATTCAGTGTGGGATTACTTATCCAGCATGGGGTGGCAAGCGTGAAAACTACCCTAAATCATTGCTGTGTACTTCCACTTGTTTATGTCCTAAATTTAGATGCTTAAGATAAGGAAGCAGTGCCGGAATTCTTCTCCCCGGGTCACTTGCATACCATGGAAGCAATGAAGGGTGCAAAATTTCTGCACCACTTGCACGTTCTTACTCAATTGCACTTCTTACAACAGTTTCCTCTTCATTCTAATACAATCCAGTAAGCAAAAATTATTCTTATCTCTCTTCGTAACTTTTTTCCTGATGTGTTTCAAATTTAGATTAATCCAAGAATATAGATACTTATAAAGGATTGAATGGTAGTCGCTCCTCAATCACATGCCAATAAGGCAGATATTTTTGGCTCATAGGTATACAATGTAGTTATCTACAAGAAAAATAAATTTTTCAACCATAATTCTTCATGGAATCTTTATTTCAAATCATTACATCAATCATTGTTTGCTTCTTTTAATTGAATGAGAAGTAAGTATCACCTCACAGAAAAAATAAAATCGGTTCATGCCTATATTATTAAAAACTACACTTACATTAGGTAGATACTTCTAGAACAAACAATTAGTTCATAATTATAAAAGCAAAATTGGTATGATTTGACACGAACTACTGCAAGCATGCTCGGGAGGGATCTAGCCTCTCAAGACAGAAAAGACTAGTATAAAACAGTACAATGATTCAATAAAAATTTATAAGCTAATAAATATTTAAAAATAATTTTAAACAATTTGAAAACATTAATACCCACATGAACAAAATTTCTTCAACATCATTTGTCATGAGTTAATAGAGATGAATTAACAGTGAATACAAATTTAAGTAGCGATTATACAATCAATTTTCAGTGATTGATTTCTTTTACTCTAGTTATCTTGTTACTTGTGTAAGAGAAATTACTTACTTGAAAGTAAATAAACCCGTAAACATTAAATAATAAAAAGATTTCTTTTCAACAGTCCTTCAGCCTTCAGTACCAACATGGTAATTTCTTTCCTGTCAGATCGCTAGGAAAAAGCTGTCCTGTTGTACCTTATAGGTAGGAAAGTTCCACAAGCTAAGGGATTTTTGATTACTTGCAAAGGAATATCATTTGAATAACTTAAAACTCTTTTAGTTTTTCAAGGCGACTCATAAAAAAAGATGATGGTGGTGCAAAAATCTAAAATTTCTGGAAATATTTTCTTTCAGCATCTCAATCTGTACATTGACGGTGAAACCGCATAAATAGATATGACGGTTAGTGATGCTGCAAACTTACTGTCATGATCGAATTTTTAAATTGAAAACTACTCAAAGTCATTTTTTGAAAACTTTTCTTCTTGGCCTTAAGAATGCTCTGTGAAAGTTTTCAAGCAACCGTGTTGCTTCATTGTTCTTCGATGAAATAAATTTGAGGGAGAAATTTTGAAACACCGTACTCCTGATACGCGTATTTACACCGTCAACATGCTGCATTTAAAGATCACATTAAAACTTCACCTTTCAAATTTTCAGGTTAATTAATTAAAACGTATTTCCATAAGGCTCGTGAAAATTTTTATTCATAACTTTTTATGGTGGCTATGCTGTTTATGTTCTGTAAGAATTTCTCCGCTGAAAACAACCAAATGCAATTTTCTTAAATTTGAAATGCAGAAATTTGTAGAGAAATATAAAACGATTTTATAGCTTGTGGAAATTAAAATAACACCGGTTTGTAAGTACTTTAGAAGTTACACAAGTTTAAAACGCACATTGCTTGACAACTAGGTATTTGTTATGATTATTATAATTTCATTTATCATATTCAAATTACAAGTGTCAATTAGTAGATATTCATTAAATCGTGTTTCTAAGGGAGAAAATAAGGATCCTGATTTTAAATTTGGTTAAAGTAGGGTCTGATCAGTTGGCAAATGTTTACTTTCTGTTTGCAGGCAACTGCAGCATTGCCATTCTTCAAGAGCAAGATTTGACTTCAAGACTGACCGCAGGTGCTGTTACGTAAATTCGTCTATTGTGCATGACAGTCGAAAGTAAACAATGGCCAACTTATCTGATTCAAGTTCTGCTTATTCTTCCTTGTTCTTGATTTGGAGTTATGTCTGGAGATATCAAAGTTAATCAAGCTACAATCAATTGCATAGGTCATCGTAGGAACGAAATCCTCGATATTGATCTTTATGCTTCAACATAGGTTTTCTAATTTGACAAATAATATTTCTCTGGATGACACTTAAACAATTGACTGGGAAATGAAAAATTGAGGCACAAGTGAAGCAGTCTTCAAACTTTTTTTTGTCGATTCCGTTGGTTTGGAGAAAATTGAGATATCCTTCAAAATTATATAAGTAACCAAAACACTAAATTTACAGACGATAAGTACCTAACTTTCATCTTGACTTACATTCAACTACAAAGGTGCCCAACATATGTGGAAAGCAAAGCTAGTTTAGTGTGATTGATTGATATCATGAAAAAGCATTACACGAATTGCGTATGCATGGTTCAACTTAAACAGTCAAGGAAATTGGTTTTGGTTTTCCAACGGTTACAGTGGTCATAAGCTTTGAAAAAAAAAGACAAAAACAAATGAGTATTAGTCTGATAATTACTAAGAAGGTAAGTAAAAAGTGTTATAAAATTATGACAGAAGATTTGGGTAAAGCATACCCAATGAGTCGTCTATAATGTAGGTTGACTCATAACTCAACTCAAAATCTTTTAACCAGTGACACAATTCGTAAAACAACACAATTAGGAAACCAGCATTTGCACAATCAATACTGGATACTAGAATCGGTGTCATGTTGTTGCGTTTAAGCATGCCTCGCACTTTTTTCAATGGTCAACTGCTAACTGAGCTTAATTCTCAGGGTTACAAGCAGTTTCTGTGGAGGCAATGCTAAAAATTATTTCCTAGGAGATGTTCTTTAAAATTTTACCCAAAAAGTTTGACAAAACAAGAATGACAGTACGGTTTGTCATTCTGCTCTTTGAAAGTGCCTTTGTTCAATTGCTTCAGGCAAAACGCGCAAACAAAATGTTCTGGATGGAACTTTCGGAACATAGCTGTTATACAGCGACCTGCAATAAAAAAAAATATATATACATTAGAATTTTAATAGATGGAATAGTATGTGGTGCTAAAATAAAAGACCCCTTATCTTGCACTAAAAAATTTCTTGTCAAATTTGATGTGAATTACTGTAAACCGACAGCTGATGAGTTCTTTTGAATAACCACCTACAGCTTTTACACTGCTGCTAAAATTATCAATCTTTGTCCGTGTATTACAACGAATCAAATAATTACGCAAATATAATTATTTTACAGACATTTTGGCTAAATTACGAAAACTATTCGGTGAAAAAATCAAAATCATGACTTCCCATTTACTTTCCAGGAACAATTCTTCAGTTACAATCTTGGCAGCAATGCAGGGGGCACAGGTGGTTATTCGAAAGAGTCTCGCAGCTGTCAGTTTGTAAAATTTTATTTGACTTTTCTGCCAACAAAATAAACTCCCTAAATATTTAAAGGAAAATATGCGAATGTCCACATCAACCAGGATGACTACGTCTTCAGGTCCAAGAAAACTTGAAAAAGAGCAGAATTTTGATGACCGGTCAGGAGAAGTCATGGTAGAAGTCAAAATATTTGACTACGATGAGCGGAACTATGAACTCTTCGCGATGGGGTCAGGAAGGGTATAACTAATCAGAGGAATCTAGAGCACACTGGATAGGGGGTGTCTTACGGATCTCCTACCAAGGGGAATCCGATGGACTATCTCCTCCAGCTACAAAGGAGAGTTGGGGGATTTGCCCAGCATCAAAGGCAGTCCAAGGGGTCTCCATGAGAAATAATGAGGATAATTTGGGAAACGTTTAGTCCTCTCAGGAGCCATTTTAAGCTGTTCTCATCAAAAAATTGGACATATTTATGCTAAGAAGCTATGTGCATAGAGTTTGCATGCAACATCGTTCCTCTTAACATAAATACATCTAATTGATCTAATTAAATTCAAAAACTTAATTAGCGAAATCCCTCACATTTCTTCAGAGGTGGAAATTAGATTTCTGGGGGGTGAGGGATGTAGGGCCTACTCCCTTGCTTCCGCCCATGCGACAGGTCTGCAAAAGTCTAAAAATTTTACAATCCTGCCCTATTTCTCAACTTCTCACAAAAAATTGAAAAGTTTTTCTGGTTTCTTCTCTCAGACAGAACGTCATTTGAATTATCAGACCATTGGCATTTCGTTTGGGAAGTGGCAAAGCCTACGTTCCATATGTGTAAAGAAATCCTTATTAGGTACTCATCTAAATGGATTTTTGAGATTTTACCCTGAGTTACAAAAAATGAAAGAGAGACGGACAATTACAGAATATTTGGAACGTTTCAATTTGATCAAATAGTTCTGGCACTAGAACAACTCGGAATTTCCCTCTAGACAACTACTTCTCAACGTCTGAGCATCAAGAAAAGTCAATTTTCTCTTTCAACCTGCATCTGTAAGCCCACAAATTATTTACAGCTGATAATTCTTGAATCCTGTGGAACCTACCAGTGATAGGTTTGTGACAACCAGCGCATAAGGAACCACGTTTTGCATGATAATGTGTCTCGCAGTAAGGCTGACCTTCATGATCGAAGAATGATCCACCCTTAAAAGGCTGCCGGCAATCCTGGTAACATTTTTCAAAAAAAAATTCCAAATTAAATGTGGAAATAAAGGATGAAAAAATAAAAGATAAGACACAGAAATATACTGAATGGGTATTGTAGATTTGAAACGAAATTTGCACCTCAGTGGGAGAGTGAGTAATTTTTAAAAATCTCAACATCCTCCTTCATCCCAACAAAAATCTGAGGAGGATGTGGAGAGGGAAAAAGAAAAATTATAAAATCGAAGTTTACGTAAAATGTGGAAGATTTAGAGGCTTTTTCGATTCTAACGAAGTTCAGAATGATTAAAGGAAAATATTATTCTCTTCCATAGACTTTAGAGACTTAACTTACTGACCAACATTTAACAGAACAGATTCATTGCAAATCGATTTTTCATTGCAAAGAATCAGGAAAATAACATGAATTTTAAAAGAGAAAATTCTGACAAATAAGTCCAGTTCCACGAGCAAAAAATCAGGATTTAAGAATTTGAAAAATTACAGATGTCCGGACCAATCTTAGACACAGAAATTCTCAGTTCCCTGACCTTCTTCTATGGTATCTAATTGCCCCTTGATAATCAGCCTCATTGTAAATTGTTAGGGAAGTCATTAAAGTCTAATTTCAGGAATGGGAAAATATTGATCCAAAAATCAAAGCATCTGCAGCCTGATTGTTGAGATTTTTTGTTTGTCGGGACGACATAGATGACATAGGTTAAAAGATAGAGCGTGATTAGTCGGCTATGTCTTATCGCTGCTTTGTCGTGCCTTTGTCAGGTGGAATGGACGACATACTGTCTGAAACTTAAGAGGTGCCGTTAGTTTGTCATGAGTTCAAGCCAACATAGGCACGATAAAGCAGCGATAAGACATAGCCGACCAATCACGCTCTGCCTTTTAACCTATGTCATCTATGTCGTCCCAACAAACAAAAAATTTCAACAATCAGGCTGCAGGAGACTTCTGAAATTGGAACTTCACACCGTCAAAATACAAACAAGTCGTTTCCTTATTCAAAGAAAAAGTTCTTTCAAGTTGACAATGTGTCAGGTAAATTTTAGTGGCACCTATTGACACACACACACACTCACCAAAAAAAAAAAAAAAAAAAAAAAAAAAAAAATGAGAGAAGGGAAGTATGATTATTTACTTGAGCAAATTTGGACTCTTTTTTTTTTGTCCAGTATCTGAAAACTTTTGGATGCTGAATCAATGGAGAATAATTTTGAGTGATTAATAAGTTAGTCCATTTCTGAGATTTAAATGAAATTAAGTATACTCCACTTCCTATAATCCAAGTTATAATAATCTTTTGGGATAGACAAGTCTGACTCTCTGGGAAAAATTTTGATAAGCAGTTCTTTTTTGCAATTTCTATACGCAGATTTCTGGACCAACTTGGAATAGTCAGACAAGATCATGTATTTCAGAAAAAACTGCAACAAGCCCACACAAGAGGAAACAAAAAATTCTTATAGCAATTGTTGAGGAGTAATATTATTCCTTCTTTCCTTGTTTTTGCCAAAATCTTCAGGCCCACTCATGTGTGTCCTGAACTCTGGTCCCTTGTTCAACGCTCCAGACCTTTCTCAGATCTTGATTTTAAAGATTGGTGCTACAAGCTGAGAGAAATGTAGTACTCTCCTTCTTTGTCAGTTTTAAAAGTTGCAAAGGCAATTTTACCACAAGTCCGCAGCTGGTAAAGACCATTCATGTTATTGACACATATTTTGGATTGAAAAATTTTATTCTATCAAAAGAAACTTATAAATCTTGTCTGGATCAAAATCTGTCCTTAGAGTTCCACTTTATCCTTGAGGTCTTGTCAGGCATTTCTGACAACACAAGTAGGCCGCTGGCATTGAAAAGGACTAGGTATCCCTAAAGTTGCGAAGGAGGATTGGTAAAGGCAGAGAGAGAGGAGGCAGATGAGAATTTACTGTTGAGATGGAAAGAGGAAGTGAAAAATAATAAAAATAGAACGATGTGGGGGAGATGGCACAAGATAACTAAGACCCTAATGACAAGCTAATTCTGAGTTCATTGATCTTAAAAGTCAAGGTCACTCAGCTGAACCTTTCTAAACTATATTCAGAAAGCAGCATAAAAGAGTTGACTAAATGACCGTCCCTAAGAAATTTTGGAGGCCAAATCAACCTCAATGGGCTAACATTCCACGCAAGAGGGATGCACTCAATTGCAGAGAAATATTTCATTCATCTCATGATAATTTGGATCAATGAACTCTGCGATTGTAGTCAAGACAAGTTTGCCCTAAAACCAGGCAGTTTTCTTGGATTGCTCTAGTACACAAGATCAAAATTAAAGTGCTAAATTCCATGTTCTTAAATCAAAATTTTGACGGAAAAACAGATATACCTATCTAGGTACTCAGTGCCACAAATTTACAATCCTCATGTAACCGTTTGTCCTTTGTTTAGATTGTCGTTACACTAATTGCAGTATGTAATCTTTCCACTCAAAATCATGATGAAAAAACATGAATCAAGCCCATCAATAGATCTTGTGTACCAATCCACTGACCAGGTGTCATGGACACCGTACGGGCAAAACTTGTCTTGAAAGCATGCCCGCCAAATGATGTGTGTGTTTATTGTTTTTTTTTGTTTTGTTTTGTTTTTTTTTTTTTTTTTTTTTTTTTTTTTTTTTTTTATTTTTATTTTTTCTAACTACATAAATAAAATATTTAAACAAATAAATAAATAATAAATAGTTAACATACTTAAATTCATTATAAAAGTGAAGATGAGAAATGAGTGAATAATTTTCACTGTTTCTCCAGGAGGCGAAAGTTGGGAGGTAGGAAAAGAAGGATGCCAAAGCTCTGAGGAAATCTGCCGGTAGGACAGGTTTTAAGGTCAAGCAAAGGAAGGAGGGGTGGGTATTAGTTTCAAAGGAGGCATGAGATTGGGAAGCATCATTTTTGGTCCATCAGCATCATTTTACAGGTCCAGCATTACTTTCTGTGACCACAATTCCATTGCGATCAATGAAAATATTTTCAAGATCACAATTTCCATCATCATTTTTCGTTGTTCATTGTTGTTAAAAGCATCATTTTTTTATATTTTCTGAAGCATAGTACAGAGCAGTGAACTACTCTTCTTCATCGACGCCAACGCATTTTGGACAGACTGGCTTGCCTTCCATTGCGTAGAAGGACTTTCCTCGCACCGGTTCCTTGCAATCCTGTACAATGGTAAATCAATAGATGACAAGTTATAAACAAAAAAATGTGTTTCCATTCAAAGCCATCCTCCAATCTACTTGGCTTAGAAGTCAGTCTTACGAGAGTCATACCTACGCTAAAGGATGAGCAGTATTACTTACTCCTCCTGGTAGAGAGGGGTTTTTTTGAGGGAGAGGGGGGGGCATGAGGTCCCAATTTTTTCACCAGATCGAAATTTTCCACAATTTATACATTTTCCTTTAAAGATGAATAAATATTTTTGCATTTTTCTACTTTGAAATTCACCATGATTGTAAACGATGCCAAATTTTTTTTTATATTTATGCACAAGAACATTACTACAACATGTTTTTTGTGCACTAGTTTGGATTGAACTCATACAAAGGATTATTTTTGAGTGGATTCATCAATCAAAACATGCTGAACTTGACCAACATTAAAGACAGCGATTATTTCTGCTTCATCTGTTCGTCAGAATTTTCAAACCTAAAGACGCCAACTGGATGATTCAACAGCACTAAAATAGAGCAGATGTAGAACTTGGGTAGGAAAGAGATGTAATCAGAGAAACGAATCGACTTCAAAACTTGAACGTGTGGGCTCAGACACATAATACAAGGCACACACGTTCGGGGAAATGTGCAACTTGGACTCGGGCCAGAAAATCATAATTCAGCTCTTGCTAGGTCACTAAAAGTGAAAATAGTCTCGCTTAGCAGCAAAATGGGGCAATAATAACATATTAACAGAACTGTTAAGTTTGGAATTATGACAAAATGTTTGTGAGCTGTGAGAACAAGTGAGTGAAGAATTTTTATACTTCTCGCGTGGTACTGAATCATAACCATGGGCAGGGAACATTACTTGCATTTTCCAAGATTTAAGTCAGGATCTTATCTTTTAATGTTCATATTTTAGTGAAATTTAGCTGAAAACTTTATCTTGTAAATCACACTTGAAATATGGAGCAGTAATATTACGATATGTAAATATTACAATTTTGTTCATTACCAGAATCTTTCTGATTGTTGCAGTTATTCTTCAATATAACATGTGAATGAGAAATTTTTTTTTAAAATCAAAAAAATCAGGTAATGAACAAAACTATTTCTTCATGACCCTCTGTAGCATCAAGAAAATTCCTGATAAGGTACCTATACTATTTAATCGCAAAACTTACGATTTTTCCTGATAGTGAATCAAAATTAATAATTCAAATCCATGAAAATGGTTGAAATGAATTCCTACCTTCCTAGCCATCCAAAGGTAATATTCCAAGTATGAGCCCCCCCCCAAAAAAAAAATAAAATAAAAAAATTTATCATCTTAAAAAATGTTATATTCTGCTTCAAAATTTTAAAAAGCTAAAAATGTAATATATTCTGAAAGAGGAGACTAAAAAGATTCTGAAAAAGGAATTGGGTAAAATTAATTGGATTTTCGGGTCTAGAAATGATACTAACCCTGCAGACAAAGCAATCTGCGTGCCATTGAGAGCTCAAGGCTGAGACATAGTTTTCCATGATAGGTCGGGAACAAGCACCGCATTTAGGAGCAAACAGGTTGAAATAATCATCACGGCAGTAAGGTTTGCCGTCTCTCTCATGGAAGCCTTCTTCGCCAAATTGCTTTCCGCATTGGGCGCAGAAGAAGTGTTCTGTATGCCAGGTCTTCTCCAAGGCAGTCACACATTTCTATTCAAAAAAGTATGAAAGCATGTTAACAGAATAAAGAATGTGATCAGGAAATGAGGAAATTTTAAAGAATACTCAGAGGAACTGCCCAACTTTTCTTCCATTTTTCAAGGCATTGTTCGAAATGTGCAGCAAGGGTGCAGAATATTATTTTGTGTTAGATTGTGAAAAATTAATCGAAGTAAAATTATTTGAAGATATTCTTTGAAAAAAATCAGCCTTTACAATACACAGCTTAGGACAGCTTATATACAGCTTTACAGCTCTAGGATATTTTGGAGGAAGCATTGCAAAGTTAAAAAAAGTAACGGAAAAAATTTATCGAGAAGAATGAAGGCTGAAATTGAATTCTGATGAGTTTAACTAAGTAAAGTATTCATTCATTAGGGGTAGGGGAAAAAATTAAGTTGTTGCTTGATGAGAATTTCTTTCTTACATCCAAAATTGGTCCATTGCAGTAAGCACATCGTGGGGAGAAAAGATTATGGTAGTCTGGTTCGCAGTAAGGGCGGCCGTCTCTTTCGAAGAAATTCCTGGTTCCTAACTCCTGCTGACAGTGCGTGCAGGTAAAATGCTCCGGATGCCATGTCTTACCCAAAGCAGTTATGACTTGTCCTACGATTGGTTTATCACAAGCGCTGCAGCAACCTAAAGTTATGAGGAGAAAAAAACAAAAATTAATTAATTTAGTTTCATTTATATTTTCTATAATCCTACAGATTGAATATTGAAGTTTCAATTAAGGTATTTGAATTCAATGACGAAATAAATACGATTGCTTAGAAACAGTGTGATGGGAGCAGATCATCTTGTTTATCCATATTTTGAAATTTATAGGTAAATCCAAAAAGGGACTCATAGATATTTATGAGGAGAAAATAATAAGGTAGCATAAGAGTTGAATTTGAACCTTTTTGGGTAGTATTGACTCCTTGTTTACTCATTTCTACTTGTAAAGTTCCTAGCATACAATCTAACTGTTCAGTTGTTTGTGTGAACTCCTTGTTGCGGTTGGGCTTGGCGTAAATAGACTCCGACTGGTAGGTGGCTGTTGACTCAATAGCCTGTTTGGGCTTCGACACCTGAAACGAAAATTAGGAATATCCATGAAATTTCACATAAGTTTTATAAATAAAAAATAATGCTAAGGAGGGATGGGGGAGGGGATGGGAATTTAGAAAAGACGAAATATCTCTTATTCCTATTTTTTTCACGTAGGTAACCACGATCATAAAATTGAGTCGTTTTGATTCATTCATTACTTTTGATTTCAAAATGAGTTTTGGATGGTTGGAACATTTCTAAATTTGAAACTAATCACGATTTATAAGAATTGGGGCCTTATCCAAAATTGAAAAAAGGAGTGACATCAATTACACTTAATTTATTTGTATTTTATTTATTCGCCGGAATATTTACTTGAGAAAGAGCACGATCTTTAGAAGTTAATTTTTTTAAAATTGAACAGTTATTCACTTCAAGATCATATTAATTTTCGATACACCACTTTTACTCATTATAGAAAAAAAAAAGTTTCCATGAAACATCTCTGTAGTAATATATATTTAAATTAAAAAAGAGGGTTGCAAAAATTATCACTTTCGACTAGAATGAAAAAGAAAAGTAACTTAAAATGAACTATGAGTGAGATTAGAGACTGAGAAGTAGCGAAATATACGAAATTCAATAAATAGCGATAAATTGAATTAAATAAATGACTGGAATATAATAATTAGATTAGAGTAAATCCAAGAGGTTACGAACTGTGCTGGGACGGTCGAAGCTGACGGAAGAATGAATTTGCGGCGGTAATGGGTCAAATATTGCGAGCGGTGCTCCGCCCAAAATCCCGCGCCCCCATCCCCTGCCCGGCTCTCCCTTTCCGAGCCGAGTTTTGGAGGGGAGACGATATTTTTAGCTGCCCCAAGAAAGGCGAAACGCGAAAATTTGTCAACGGCAGCGAGGGAAAATGGAACGAAAGGGGAATGGGGGTCGTAAAATTTTCACGGTCATCGCTCGAAATTTGGGCAGGGTTCGTGGTTCCGGGTTCGATTTCTCAGTTCGCGTTCAATCGAGAAATTGTCAATAAGATTCCTTCAATCGGGAAGGGATAGATGCGTGTATTCTGCAGAGACATCTCCAGACTATTTTTCACCCACTAAAAAAAGTAGCAAAGCTGCCATTTAACTTTACGAAATATTCCGAGATTCCCGGAATCAATTTTGATTTCCCAAAGTTCCGGGAAAAATTCAGATTTTTTCAAAAGTTCCGCGGGAAAGTTCCGAAATACGTCCGGATTTAGTTCCAAAGAGCTTCAAATTGGATCAAATTAGCGGTCATACTGACGAGGGACCCCCAACATTCTGAGAAATAGCTGAAAATTTCAGTAAAAGTTCCGTAATTCGTAATTAATTCTGGGAAATGGCAGCACTGATCAAAGTGGAAGAGAAGAGAGGCTGATTTATTATACGAGCCTACCCGATTGAAAAAAAAAGGGCGACAGGATCGTTTGGCTAGAGTTAAAAATTGGAAGTGACAGCGGGATTCGAACCCGAGACCTCTTGGTAGAATGCCACACGCGCCCCCGAACAGCTGTTGCGCCATCACGTGCGAGATGGCTTACGAGACGGCTTGTCTAGAGGTCTCGGGTTCGAACTCCGGGATCGACGACTGGGAGACGAGCAGGCGCCAACACTGGCACTGACTAGCTCGCAGTGTTTCCTCTGTTTGATTTGCATCGAATTCGAGGGAGTAGTGTGTTAGTGAGTGTCTCGAAATGTCTCGGAGTGTCTCTGTCAAAACGCCTTCACTCCTGTACGTATGCAATACGGACATCCGCGGAGCTCGAATAATCGCATCCAGGCGGAAAATGATATTCACGTAGTGTTCGCGTTGCATGCGATACTGACGAAGGTGCTATACTTGTTTTTCTAACACATTAACTTCATCTCAGCGTACTTCATAACGCCGATGAGGTGAAATGTTACTGATTGGACTTGTTTATGCTAAAAGGAACTACGTGCATATATGTAGTTCCTTTTAGCATAAATACGTCCAATTGTAATCGTGACACTGTCAATTTTCCGGAAAATGCATTGATTTTTCCCGTGCGTGACAACGATGTCCTTCTAACAAAGGGGCAGCGGCACTATAATTCCTGACATAAGAACCAAGAAAAAATTCTCGAACGCGCTTTCGGACAAATTAGTTAAGGATACTATGATGAGGAGACCAACTTAAAGGAGACCAGTTGTCAGAAATATATATCAAAATAAGGTAAGTTCAGAACCCGGCGAGGCAAAAATCCAGAGCTTGTAGAAAAATAGCTTTAAGCTACTNTATTTTTAGCTGCCCCAAGAAAGGCGAAACGCGAAAATTTGTCAACGGCAGCGAGGGAAAATGGAACGAAAGGGGAATGGGGGTCGTAAAATTTTCACGGTCATCGCTCGAAATTTGGGCAGGGTTCGTGGTTCCGGGTTCGATTTCTCAGTTCGCGTTCAATCGAAAAATTGTCAATAGGATTCCTTCAATCGGGAAGGGACAGATGCGTGTATTCTGCAGAGACATCTCCAGACTATTTCTCACCCACTAAAAAAAGTAGCAAAGCTGCCATTTAACTTTACGAAATATTCCGAGATTCCCGGAATCAATTTTGATTTCCCAAAGTTCCGGGAAAAATTCAGATTTTTTCAAAAGTTCCGCGGGAATTTTCCGAAATACGTCCGGATTTAGTTCCACAGAGCTTCAAATTGGATCAAATTAGCGATCATACTGACGAGGGGCCCCAAAATTCTGAGAAATAGCTGAAAATTTCAGTAAAAGTTCCGAAATTCGTAATTAATTCTGGGAAATGGTAGCACTGATCAAAGTGGAAGAGAATAGAGGCTGATTTATCATACGAGCCTCCCCGATTGAAAAAAAAGGGCGAAGGGATCGTTTGGTTAGAGTTAAAAATTGGAAGTGACAGTGGGATTCGAACCCGAGAACTCTTGGTAGAATGCCACACGCGCCCCCGAACAGCTGTTGCGCCATCACATGCGAGTTGGCTTACGAGACGGCTCGTCTAGAGGTCTCGGGTTCGAACTCCGGGATCAACGACTGGGAGACGAACAGGCGCCAACACTGGCACTGACTAGCTCGCAGAGTTTCCTCTGTTTGATTTGCATCGACTTCGAGGGAGTAGTGTGTTAGTGAGTGTCTCGAAATGTCTCGGAGTGTCTCTGTCAAAACGCCTTCACTCCCGTGCGTATGCAATACGGACATCCGCGGAGCTCGAATAATCGCATCCAGGCGGAAAATGATATTCACGTAGTGTTCGCGTTGCATGCGATACTGACGAAGGTGCTATACTTGTTTTTCTAACACATTAACTTCATCTCAGCGTACTTCATTGCGCCGATGAAGTGAAATGTTACTGATTGGACTTGTTTATGCTAAAAGGAACTACGTGCATATATGTAGTTCCTTTTAGTATAAATACGTCCAATTGTAATCGTGACACTGTCAATTTTCCGGAAAATGCATTGATTGTTCCCGTGCGTGACAACGATGTCCTTCTAACAAATGGGCTGCGGCACTATAATTCCTGACCTAATAACTAAGAAAAAATTCTCGAACGCGCACTCGAACATATTAGCTAAGGATACTATGAGGAGACCAACATAAAGGAGACCAGTTGTCAGAAATATAAGTCAAAATAAGGTCAGTTCAGAACCCAGCGAGGCAAAATCCAGAGCTTGTAGAAGAATAGCTTTAAGCTACTGAAGGCTGTAAATTTGTAAATGTAAAATTGTAAATTGTAAATGTGAGCACCAGTACCCTGGTAAAAATTGGCGGTAGAATGTGTGTTCCAAAATACTATAGACCTAAAGCCGGCTGTAAGATTTTCAATAGCTTCTGTAGCCGGCTGTGCAATTTCTCATAGCCTTTTATAGTCGATGGCGATTAAGCAACAGCCCGACGATAAATTTTATGCTAAACGTTTCTCAATACGGATACTAGGACTTAGTTAGTTTTTGGACTACCGCTCTCTTTTTGTGCCGTAGTATCTTGATATATTTTGCGAGGAAAGCTCCGTACTTTTGAAGAATGCATGTCATTCTTAATATGTAGGAGCGCCTGCAATTTCTTATGACACTGTGCAATACGTCTGGTGTGAAATAGTTGCTTCAGACGCCGTGGCACGCTGCGTGGCATACATATTGCACGCATTGCGCAATGCGTGAAGTATCCCTGTTAGGTTTGTAGGCGCCAGTGCGTCGCCGCGCAATGCGTGAAGTATCCTTGTTAGGTTTGTAGGCGCCAGTGCGTCACCGCTCCGCTTTGTGTTAGGCTCTAATATTTAATCTCGCGGAGTCAACGTTTTTCAACTCATGATTTTGAAATGTTCGCACACTCTGTATGGGCCATCTCATTTTAATTGATGAAAAAAAACAATGTTTTAAAGGAAAATATAATGTGTGTTTTGTAAATATTAAGGTAGTTCCGTGTCAAACTTAATGATTTCCAAAGCACACTAATTTCTACACAATTTCTTATAGCCTTTTACAGCCAATGACGATAAAGTGTAAAGCCCGGCGATAGGAACTATAGCCTGACTGTATACTTTTTTATAGCTTCGTATAGCCCGGCTATATGATTTTCTCCGCTTTCTACAGCCAGCGATATGATTTTCAATAGCCTTCTTTAGTCGGCTATGAGAACTCCTATGGTATTTTGAAACGCAGCTCGTATCGCCAATTTTTACCAGTGAGATCGGGTTCATAAAACACGAATCAATGACGTAAAAGAATGCTGCCCTGAAGCTCCTCACATAAAATCGGCGTTGTAAAAAATTGAGTGAATGTATCTTCTTGAGTTTTGCTTTATTTGTACAATTGCGCTCTTCAACAACAGCCTTGAACATATATACTAAACTTTTGTTCCCGTTTGTCTTTTGAAAAGAGGCTACTTAAGATCACGTAATTAAAACATTTTGTTACATTGCAATCAGATTTCTAACACAGATAAAGTTTACTGGTATCGGTATGGTATCTCGATTGAGGGGAATGGCTTGGAGGACAATGCGCATAAGTGCTGTTTCTGCTATTTCGAGAAACACGTGTTTAAAGTTTTGAAATAACATGCGGATCCTTATGGCGAAAAGATATTTCAAACTGACATTTTGATGCTTAAAAATTGGAATTTGAGGGCGAATTTTTCACAGAATATGCATTAAGATTAGTTTTACTTGAAATTATTAATACCTCTATTTTCTCAAAAACTGCACTTGTGCGCCTTTTCCTCCAAGCCCACAATTTTAAGTTTTCGTGGATTTAGGTTCCTTTTCGGTTACACATGGGGGGCCTACAATTTTTGAGGGGGAAGAGGGCTTTAAAAAGGGCGGGAAGTAGGAGAAAGTGGGAGGAAGACTTTCCGGGGCTTATGGGGGTGGCAGAACGGCGTTGGAGGTGAACTGAGAGGGGCCATCGACGGGGCAGAACTACGAACGAGGACGAGGAGAAACAAGAAAGAAGAAGGAAGAAGAGACAAGCGTTGCGAAAACAGAGTGAAATTGGCAGAGCCACAACTGAAATTACTCGGACGTGTCATGGAAAACAGCCGAAAAATACGAACGAGCGCAAAAAAATGGGGAGGGGTTGCAGCTCAAGTAAATCGTTGTGCGGCGAGCCGCGTAGCTCCGTCCCACAGTGGACAGGACCATCGGCCGGACATGAAATGCTTTATTGAAGCTGCAAATTCTGATGTTTTCTTTGTCACGATATACATTTTAAGAGGTGCTTCTTGAAGCAAGTTTAACGGGGAAACCGATGAAACTATTTTTAAACTTCTATCGACGGTGAAACTACCATACCACGTTTCTCGTATTTGCGGTGTTTAAAAACAGGGTTACCACACAATTTAGAAAATGCAACTTCCTTACATTTTCCTGAGTAAAATTCCCTGACGCAGTTGAAGATATACCATAAAACCAAAAATACACGATTTGTAGTAGTTTCCTGCAAAATGTGTTGTTATAAACGTCAAATCAATTCCAGAAAGCCAATAGAGGTAAATTAACAATTTTCCCCTGACACATTCGTCATTTTCCCTGACTTTTCAAAATTCCCTGACATTTCCAGGTTTTCCCAGTATTTTCTGACTGTGGCAACCCTGTAAAATTCTCCACTCCCATTTTATTTTTTTGAAGGAGAAAAAAATCAATATCATTCCTTGAATTTGTCTCAGTTTTTTACGCACAGAGAAGTAAATTCATGGAAGTTTTCAAGAAATGACGTTGTGTCGTTTTCCGTTACTAAAATTTAATGCGAAAGAAAGTCTGCGACGTCGCAAATCGAGATACGTGGTTTGGTAGTTTCACTGTCGTTATGTTTAAAATATCGACGAAGATATCGATTGCGAACCTTCCAAACCGCATATCTCGGTTTGCGACGTTGCAGACTCCCATCCATAATTTCTTTTTCAAATGAGGAACCACTCAACGTCAAATCTTAGAAACTTCCGTAATTTTTCTTTCCTGTGCAAAGTAAATTGTGAAAAACTTCAAGGAGTGATATCGACTTGTTCTCCTTAAAAAAATAAAATTTGAGCAGGGGAGATTTTCAAACACAGCAAACGACGTATACGTGGTTTCATTGGCGTAACGTGTTTTGCGATACATCGATTGATCTGCCATTTAATCCTATGGAAAAGGATCGATAAACAGGGTGTTTGCAGCGAACACCTTAATAATCGATTATTTACGACAGCCTCAAATGGGGAAATATCGATACGCGATCATCACGCCGCGCCACTGCGTGGTTTAGGAGTATCACCGTCGATACTTGCTTCTGAAGTTTCCAAATGGACACATTTATGCTAAAAGGAACTATGTGCATAGGGTTTGCGCGCAGCATAGTTCCTTTTAGCATTAATACGTCCAGATCATGTTGTTCATCTCCCACTGACTCGTTTTAGCTGTGCGGCGTGGGATTTATGCGGTTATATTTTTGCGGGTGGATCAGCGTGAGCTCTGAGATTAAAATCACTTCATTTCTTACGATTCAGAGAGGAGAAACTCGCCTATTCCTTTCGTCGTTCAATAAAACTAGCGGTAAATACTTTGCAAGAATCAGCTTTTCGGGGAAACGGAAAAGTCAAGGGAAATCGACAAAAACTATTTGTGAGCAGTAGCGTAGCGTGCTTGGAGATACATCAATTGATCTGCCATTGAAACCTAAGAAAAATGATCGATAAACAGGGTCTTCGCAACGACTTAAATAATCGATTCTTGACATTCATCACTTCTTGATTGACAATGAAGACAACGGAATCAGGTATCCGCGGTGTATTTCATTAGCATTAAAGCGCGTAAAAATGAATGTTATTTCAACAATTTTGAATTCAGAACGCGGAAAATTAAAACTAAGCATGAATTGTTTCCCCGACCCTTATTGTCTTCGATAAAACTATGTTTCTTAATACATATAAGTCGCTCTAATGGCACTTCTGTGCGCTCTTCGACACCCAACCGCCACTGACAGCGAAAAAAAACTATGCTTAATAAAGTGCAGAATTTAAAGGGTCACAACTTCAACTAACAAATAATCGGAAATTTAGTAGGAAATTTACTAGTAGTTTATCGGAGCTTTTTAGTAAATTTAGTAGTACTTCGAATTTTTTCTTCTCTTGATCCTCCCTTTTTTTTCTCAAAATCCAACGACTAGATTTTGTCTTCTCTGGCGCGGAGGTCTCTTTTATTACCAGTAGACAATTATTACAAATTCAAATAAAAAAATACTTGCGAAGTGTATCTCTTTTGTGCTATTTGGCAACGCTGACGATGGAGCAAAATAAAATTTCCACTGTGGAAAACGTCGGGCGAAGTCGCCGCGACAGCTGAAATGGCGGGTCCATAAAATATTTCACCATTTCCCGCAGAAACTTGAAACGTCGAGAACTTATGACAGGACCCGATTAAAATCTGAGAAATGAGGGTAGGGACGAGATGTGCCAAAACTAATTTTTCTCACTTCGAAAAGAGGTGGATAACATTTTTAATCCCTTACACGACACCCCGCTGTAAATTCATGAGTTTTCTTTTCGTGATGCGGTGATTTCTTACGACCCAGAGGAAAAGGTAAAGCTCATCTTTCAAAACCTAGATATCCCAATTTTAATTCAATTTTAATTTATGTTTCATTTAAATACTGAACGTGAAAACACAATAATAGGAGCTTTTGATATTTAATTATTTTAAATTTCAAAACACAAAAAAATCATTCCACGCTCGCGATCTACAAAACCACGTAAGACGTAATGTTTCAGAAACACATTTAAGTACCATAGTCTCAGCTAACATAAACAATTTTTTCCCTATTCAGAGATATTTTTTTGTGATTTACAGTATTTTATCAAATAAAGATGGGCACGATATTCTTTGACATTTTACACGGCAGATATTGATAATTAGTTGAAAAAACAGGACGGCTTCCTTCCACCATTCTGTAAAATACCAACTAATTGCAGGGAGAACTAATTGGACTGCATTTTGCAATTTGGAACTATAAATTCTGGCTCATCTGAAAAAAACACTTATGTGTATAAGGAAACTAATGGCACATACGTTGTTTTTAAACAGGGCCATAATTTATAGTTCCAAATTGGAAAATGTAGTCCACTTGAACCCTGCAGGGAGAAGGACATGGCAATACTCTCCTTTAATATGTTCTCCGAATAAACAACAAAAGCAACGACCAAACAAAACAATAAATAAATAATAATATTACCTTAAACTCGGACAGGGAAGCCATGAGGTCATCCAGCTCTTTGGTAGCGCTGGAAGCCGTGGGTCGGACCGTTCTCGTTGTGGTGGTGGTCGTTTCTTCCATGAGAAGTTTTGTGACATACTGTCCATCCCTGTGAACACATTTTTCCAGTTAAAAGAGGCCATGATAAAAACATCGAAATCAAGTGACATTTCTGTGAAGTACTAAGAAATTCGTGAGAGAAAAATTCTTCCATTTAAAAAAAAATCATGTATAAATCATGCAAAGCCAATTTCCTTTAAATACAAGGAGTCTTTGAATCGCGGACAATTTGTTTTGAAAATAAAAATAAGTTTTTTTTCAAACAATTTTTTTGTTTGTTTCGATAAAGAAAATGGAGCAAAACATAATAGGTCTACGTATGATAAGCGACACGGGCTCGAGCCACAGAATACAAGTAAGACCAATAGATGACCGAACAAGTTGTTGATTGAAATCTCGACGCAAAGATTATTAAGTTCAGATGACTGACAGCGCGCTAACCTAAATTGAGAAATGCCTTGTTTAATTAATACTAAATAAAATTTTCTAGGGACAAACAGCTAATAAGAGGAAATAAGCAACGTAAGCGCAGAAAGGCTGTTTCGGGTTGAAGTCGTTCAATTTTTGGTTGCGATAAGAAAAAAATGAGGGGGAAAAATGAGTCAGAAAGTTCCTAGAGGGATTCCGATGATTGCAAGTTTCTAAAATTTTCATAGTCGACGCTGGGAGAAATCATGATCCGCACTGCCGTGCTAGGGATAAACGCCGTATGAACATTTAAGTGTTGCCAAATTTCCTTCGATAAAATTTTTATTTTTGAGGAGAGCTACGGAATATTTATCCTTGAAATTTTCAGAAATTTTAGGTGAACTTGCGAACAAACTTACATAGAAAATTGAAAGAAAAAGATTCACAAATTTCCCCAAAAATTCGTGATTTACCAAAGGAAATTTGGCAACGCCTGAAGGGTCATACGGCGTTTTTTCTTAGCAAGGCAGCGCAGTCTTTCGATAACTCAGATTGTTTACTGAACCTCTGACGTTAGCCGCAATCTTCATTTTAAAAATAATTACAATTTGCATCCCGGCTGAAAGGAGGGGAACTTTAAACTGAAAAGCACCAGCGCTAAAAATAACGTGAAAAATTATTGCCCAATGAATGAATATCACCTATCCTTCAATTAGGAATATTGACTGGGGTCGTAAACTGAGCGTTATTTTAAGCATCAGCTGTGGAGCGCGCAGCATCTTCACACTCATAAAATGTCACTTCTTCGAGGAAAACAGCTTTGCACTTTGCAATTACACATTGATTGATTGATTGATCGGTTATCAAGGCGGGGTCGATTCTTATTCGACCGATTTTATCAGTAAATCGATATTTTCATCGAGATATTGTGACCTTAGCAGTGTAGGAATCGAATTCTGAGCTTTGGAACGTTATTTCATTATTTCAACTGTACATCCTTCTAAAACTCGCTTTTATCGAAAGAAGCACGTAAAAAGTTCGATTTTAAAATCTCATCAACCTGCGGGCCGATTATTGTAATTGATAGACAAAGCTATAGACAAAGAAGACATCGGGGGTATAAAGCAATCCTATTGGTTGAAACAGGTGGTTCTCATAGACTAGGGGGAAAATGATAGACTAACTGTCGGGTCTCTCGTGGGTTGCCTTTAGTTAGTCTATTACCTACCTCCTTTGTCCATTGCAACCACCCGCTTCTACCAATAGAATCCCTCCAAATCCTCTTTGTCTTCTTTGTCTATTGCTTTGTCTATCAATTTCAATAATCAGCCCGCTGAGAGGGTCGTTAAGTACCTTATCAAACAGAGGCAAGGTGTGAATGATGGATCATCGATATTTCCCCATTTGAGGCTGTGGTAAAGAATTGATCATTGAGATGCTGGTTGCGAACACCCTGTTCATCGATCTTTTTCCACAGTTTTAAGGGGCAGATCAATCGATATGTTGCAAAGCATGCCACGCCACTGTTATCAAATGAATCGAGTTTGACAAAAGCGCACCAAGTTATATTTAATTTGAGTCGCGAGAAAAAAGTCTGACATTGTATACTTTTCTTTAAGACTCAAATAACACAGATTTAACGACTCTTTTGGCGGTCAAGATATTTTTCCTCGACTTTGAATTTTTGACAAGAAAAATTTACAACTAGTTCAACAAAACCACTCCTAAATTAGGAGTCCTAATTCATTGAATTCACGCCTTGGAGAATCAAAAAGTCTCTAAATATATCATCCGAATCATGAAAGACTATTCAAAAGACAGATATGTATTTTACGGTAAAGTTAAAATTACGAGTGGTGCTGCTCAAGGAAGGATACTTGGTCCTGTGGAATCTTGTCAATGATCATGTAGTCCAAATGAGAAATGTGTCATTCAATAATAATTTTTCTAGTTTTTCCAAGCTCTTCCAAATTGTTTTCCAAATTTTCTTGTGCAGTTTTGTTGTTAGACAAAACGTTACTACAGACCTGGGTGTTTCCTTGGACATTTTAAAACCACCTCGTGCGACAAAAGAAAATATAATAAAATAAAAAAAAAAATTGTTTAGTTCCAAAATGCGATTTGCACATGTTGGTGATTACACGATCGTAGCCAGGGTGACGCCATGATTCTGTATTACGCAAACTGCAGTCTTGGTCAAGATTCGAGCTTAGATCTCTCGAGAGAACTCTCGATGAAAGCTTGGCGGTGCTTCCGGGAAAGATCGATGTCTCACTTTGGAGCGGGTTTCAATTTTAGACGAGTTATACGATGCACTTCTTGAGGTTATGTTGGGGATTCCGACAACACCCGCTTAATCCCGGCCCACGCACTCTCGACATCAGAATGGTGGATGGTGGGTGTCTGGCTTGTTATGCAACGATAAATTTCCGTTGCAATAGGTGCATCGGTGCGGAGATTTTCACGGAAGAAGTTGGCGCGCAAGAACTGCTACGTTGTCGTGCCAGTCGCTCCGCTAAGGAAGAACGCCGTATGAGCCTTCAGATACCTTACTTTCTTCAAAAGAACACGAATTTACTGGAAAAAATGTGTACACTTTTCTTTAAAACTGCCAGACAATTTAGTTCGCACTTTAACCTGAAATACCTGAAAAATTTCAAGGAATAATATGCATTGCTTCGGGTTTTATCTGGAGAAATTTGACAACTCTCGAATGTTCGAACGGCGTTTTTCCTTAGCACAGCAGTAAGGGCGTAACCTCGCTTGAGCTTTGAGAGCATGAAGATACAAGCCTCACAAGACTCATCTTGAGATTTAGTTATGCTCTTGTATCGGAGTGACTAAGATTGTCCATTATACAATGTTGTAAGCCCTGCCTAGCTATGAGAAAAAAACGCAATATGAGTTTTTTAAGTCATATAATTTCCTTCGATTAACATTTCTCATCACCCATGGAAAAAAGGAACTCCGAACAAAAAACGAAAAAAAATAATCATATTAAAACTTCCATTTGTTTAATGCAATTCTCAATTTTTCCTTAAAGAGGCGTTTGGAATGGAGAGGGGGTTGGAAGGGAGTGGGGGAGAAGAATAAGGAATAGGAATGAAATGTTGTCTTCCGACAAAGATGTGAAAAATTTCAGCTATTATTCATCGGAAGGCTGACTATTTGCGATTTAAAAATTAAAGTTCATAAATATTTTTAAAAAAAAGACTCATTTCACGAATTTAAATACAATATTAAATTTTGCCATCCTGCGGGGATATTACTGCAATTGATAGACAAAGCTATAGGCAAAGAGGACAAAAAGGGTATGGAAGGATCCCATTGGTGTAAGCGGGTGGTTGCAATGGACAAAGAAGGTAGGTAATAGACTAACTAACGGTAACCAATGAGAGACCCTATATTTACTCCGTTATTTCCTCCCTTAGTCTATACGAACCACTCTTCTCAACAGATAGGATCGCTCCATACTCCCCATGTCTTCTTTGTCTATCGCTTTGTCGATCAAAGTCAATAATCAGCCCGCGGACTGTAATTGATTTCTTTTAATACATCCCTGTTTTCGGGGGTTTAGCAACCTTGGTTTTATCGACAAGTATCGGCAACCCCGGTTGCTGGCTCTGGTGGATACTTCAAACGACGCGATACGACAAGCTCTTCTTAACCCACTCGATCATCGACAGCATTTTCGGAAAACAGCCAGATGTCCGTTTCTGCGACGGAGCGTCACGCCGAAGTAAAAAAATAACCGAGAAAAATAATAATTGGACGAGAGAGGTACGCGGTAGACTACCGAAAATACGGCGATGCCGTCTATTTTCGTCCGAGCTTCGTACGTACACTCGGTCTTTTTCAGGTCCAGTTACACGATCAAATTGAGCCATCAAATTGGGCCTCTTATTGGTCGCATCCTCACATCAGGTCTTTTCCCACCAATCAGAGCTTCAGTTTGATGGCTCAATTTTATGGTGTAACTGGACCTTTCCAGCCGAAGGAACCTAACTTCAGTCCAACGTTGTAAAATCGACTTGAAAAATTGTATTTTTTAGAGAAAAAGACCGTGCCATTTTTGTCCGATTTTTTTATTTTTTTTTACTTTTGGGTGCGATCAGGCGGAATATCAGTGGAGTTCTTCGTTGGCAATGTCCCATAGTTTCATAGTAAAATCAATTGCGAAAGGGAGTTCGGCAAGATGTAAGCTAGTTATGTTTTTTCATCTCAAAATAGTGCGTGGAATCTGCCTGGACGTATGGCGTTTCTGGTGCTTAATACTGGGCATTAATACTCACTAAGAGAATTACTCAAAGAGTTTTAATGAGTGAAATTTTAAAATTTTCAGAGCAGTCAATTCGTAAATTTTTGTTTTCAAAAGAACACGATGACGATGCGCATAAGATGCGCCTTGATTACTGTGCAACGAAGTTGTGTGCTTGTGTCTTAAGAATTGCGAGCTCGAAAAAAGTACACGCGAATTGCGTTGAAAAGTTCGTTTTCAAAATTTCATCTTTCTGGAGGAGGAGGGGGGGGCGGTTACTGTCTAGAGGTTCTGTCGTTTACAGGCAAAATGAAAATCTACTCAGCCCTTAGATGACCGAGCCGGGTCAAATTGATCCGATGCTTGCTAAAATCACGTAGCCCGCGAGTTATATGGACGTATTTCTGTGAAACGGAACTATGTGCATTATGACGTAAGCTCTGTTATGCATATATTCTTATGGGTCCCATGGCTCATATCTAAATGCACACAGTTCCGTTTGTCAGATATACGTCCAAATGTGGCCGGTGCGTAATGCAGGTCTGCGAATACATCGTTAAAAAGAATCGGAAATCTTCGGAAATCGAAAAAAGAAAGAAAAATATTCGAATGTCAACGAGGTCGAGGATAGGAGATTCGGGTCTCACTTATAACTTTCTTCCAAAATGGAGCGGACACCTCATTGGCAGCATGGAGCGGAACATTGCAAGTTCACGCCCGGTGCCTTCGCGCCTTCAATTTTGCAGACGCAACACGGACATCCGTCGAGCACGAATAGTTGTATCTCTGCGCCGTCATCAACGCGGGTCTCTATTTTTCCATACTGCGTTGGTTCCGTTATTCTTTCTGTAGTGGTGCTTCGAGGGCTACATGAGAAACACAGCCCGAGATAGGAAGGACGTAATCCAGCCTAGGTTTTTATCTTTTGACTATAAAAGCACGTGACCCGAAGGATTGTATTGGTCCGGTTCATGCGAGTTTCAGATATTGGTCTACAAAAACAGCGTGAGGAAAGAAAAAAAAAGTGAAAAAAAAGAAAAAATCGAGAGTCAAAACGGCCAAAGCTAGGAGAGACGTATACGGGCCTCGTTCATGACTTTTACACCGATTCTCAGCATCTCAGCGACACCTCATTGAAAACATAGATCGGAGCAGTGCTGGTTCGCGCCTTCGATTTTGCAGACGCAACACGGACATCCATCAAGCACGAATAGTTGTATCTCTGCGCCGTCGTCAAAACGCTTTGAGGTGTCTTTCATTTTGGGATTCGGAGAAAATTCAAGGTTGAGTTTCTCAAGTCATGCTACATACGACGTGTCCAAATCAACAATCGTTTAAAAAGAAGTGAAAAGATTTCTCAAGCTCCCTAAACGCCTGGAAATTGGAATGGATCGTATTCGACGCATCAAACAGATGAGATTGTATCGATATCGATTGGTTCAACATGTAAACATAGCCACTAAAGTCAATTGAGAAATTTTAGGAAACGGGTTTCTTGTGATAGATTTTTTATTCTTATGACGAGTATAAAATGGTGATGAAAAGTAAAATTGTGGAGAATTTTCTCATTTTCAGCTTTTCCTCCTTAAATCCTAAAATTTTTGTTTGAGGTTATGTTCTTTGTTTTGAACCAAACGATACATCGAGCCATAATCGAATACAATTTATTTTAACGAATGGTGTGATTGGCGTGTCGTGTCAGGGAATTTTCCTCACTAGCCTTCAAATCGACCCGACTATCTCTTCTGGGATCAGAAAGTTTTTCCAGATTACGCGGTTCCTAGTCAAGAAAATTTGACGTCCAAATCCTAATGTTCGCTTTCAAAGCTAGACCATCCACGACACAACTCGCTGGCGCAATTACGAAACTACGGTTTTAGATGCAACAAAAATTTTAAGTAAAGCCTTACTTTCTTTTGATCTATATTCTTCGAAGAGGGGAAAGAGGAGGAAATGGAAAACGGAAGAAAGAGAGACAGAAGAGGAACATTTAGAATATTAACGATCTGTCCGAAGCAAAACATTGGTTGATCCCCCAAACAAATCCAAGACACGACGGAAAATTTACGACGATACAAGTCAAGTGCTTTCCACTCTGCTGTTTGGCCGCGCCCGGGGAAAACACCGTATGGTCAGTAAGCCGTTGCGAAATCGCTGCTGTTACCAACCGAATTTTCATAAAACAGGGTGTCTAGTTTTTGTTTTCATTTTGGGAAATCCTGATTTTTGACTGCTAAATCCTGATTTTATAATTTCTTCGAATCCTGATCGAATCCTGATTTTTTCCGGAGAAATATTAACGGACGGATAACGGATAATTAACGGAAAATAAGCGGAAGGCCGACTTTTCTCAAATCCTGATTTTAAGACCGATTTTTCCTCAAATCCTGATGAAATCGGGATTAAATCCTGATTGACCTCAAACCCTGATATAATCGGGGAAATCGGGAAAATCCTGATGCTGGACATCCTGTAAAAAATTATGAAAAATTGATTTTGAATTTCCGGAAAATTCCACTCAATGTCAGGTATAAGGTGTCTGTTTTCAAAGGGGTAATATGATTCACAACTTCCCTTGGATTTGTCTGGATACTCCGTCGGGAGAAATTTGGCAACCTCCTAATGCTCATATGGTGTTTTCTCTTAGTACAGCAGTGTTGATATTGGGTGCGGCTACGTCGGTCGAATAAACATGAAAGTAATCGTAGATTTGACAGCGATGCAAGTGCGTGGGCGTGCGCCCGGGGTCCAGGCGGAGCGTTTTCAGCGCACCGTTTCCTTCCTTACACAAATATATTTTTATAAATATAATATTGCAGGTGATCCGACGCGCGGTTAATACGCCGGGACGACGTGGGGGGGCGTGCGATGGGAAAGGGGGAAAGGGGGGGCGAAAACAAATACGAGAATAACCGCGGGATAATACGTCCAGCGGATATACTAGGTCAAATTTCAAAATAGATTTTTAAGCGACATCAATCAACCGCGTGATTTTTGTTTTTTCCCCGACTGCGGTGTTTCCGAGGTTGGCCGGGCTGGTTGCCGACGAGCCGGGCGCTGGCCCTTTCCCTCCCGGTGTTGCCAATTTTTACGATAAGGGTGCTTTTTCTATATTGATTCGCTCGAGATGTAGAGAAGAATTACCAGCGGAACACGACAACGATGCTCCCAAACTCATGATATTAAGAAGCCGCGCATGGATCCATTAGATTCCCGCCATTGGGCGTGGGGACATCCCTAAACTACGTAACGCTAACGGTTTTTGACACCCCCACCACCCATATAACGCTCCCTAACGCTACGTCGGACCCCCATAAAAATTACGTAACGCTTGCCTGGAACCCCTCCCTCCGTTCCGACGAAAAATAATATAAATTTACCTTGCATCTATTGAACGGATTGGCGTTTCTATTTAGTGAGGGAAAATGACAGTTTTGCAGGGAATATTTCTAGCGACGAAAACTTCTCAAGACGACAGTTAAAAAATTCTACAGAAACCAGCAAAAATAATAAATAACTTAAACTTGTTAAATAACGCTTCGCTCTATACCTTCCCCCTCATCACTGTAACGCTAAGTAACGCTGGCAAAGGCCCCTCCCTTTTGGAGCGTTACTTAATTTTACGTCCCATGGTCGTAGCTCCTAAGGGGCCAGGGTGGGCCTCACCCTCCCTCCTCCTTTCCAAAAACTTGAAAAAGCCTCCTATCTGGCTCATCTATCCCCCTCCCCCAGAAAATCTGGACGATAGAAAAAAAAAACCTGGAAACAAAATAAAAAACTCGATGAGGACGTTAATAAAGGCGTACAGCGAGAAAAATATAATCAGGAAGAGAGGGGAAAATAGCTTACCCGTTGGGTGTAGTCGTCGTGTTCAATTGTTCCAACAGACTATCAACTGAAGGCCTCTGGCTGGCCGAAAGATCAAAATCAGAATGATTATGACTATATCCATTCAGTTTTGGAGAGTCAATGGTCACTGAAACAGGAAAAAAACACACAATTGTTAAATTGTTACAAAGAATAAAGATTTAGAGTTTTTAGTCCGCCTAGGTATGATTTATGGGTTTCAAAAATTTTCTTCCGATTTAAGTGGAGATGAGGAGAAATAATTAGCTTCGAAAGAGAGATGAGTAAATTGAAGGAACTAAAATATTCACGTATACACACCCCGAGTTACATAGGTCTTTACTGTATTTCCCACAAGTTTCCCTTTTTCCGATCTATTGAAAAAATTTCAAGGGGTAGTATACATCATGGAAAATAACGCTAGGTCAGTTAAAACATTAAATGTTTACCTAAAAGAACTCAGAGTGGGTCAGTATAATCCATTTTTTATGAGATTTATTTCCTTAAATTACGGAATGAACTAAGCTTAAGGGAATTTTTAAGGTTTTTCTTTAACCCTAAAAAAAGGGTAGGAGAACCCATTTGAAATCACATTTTTGGTGGATTTTGATGACGTAGACAGGCGAGGAGAAACGACGTTTGCTGATTGGCTGAACTCACGATCAGCTTCAATCATCGCTATGCTATAAGTCAATTCGACTGTCAGCTTGTGCGTGATCGGGTTTTGATCAAATATTTCTCCCTTAGAAATGATTTTTTGAACTTTTCGATTAACTCTTTAGGATTACCACGACTTCAGCAGAAAAACTATCTTATGCAATCCTGCAAAAAATATTTGCCACTTCCCCATTGCGTTGTCAGATTTTCCCCAATATTTACTTGAGTATTCATGATATTTCCCGTCCAGTTGTAACATCTGGGGCTTTTTTGTAATCCTTGTGGAACCCTTTACTTTTAAAAAAGTAAATATTGTGGGAACTATATAAAAATAAGATGTTAAAGTGAAGTTTGAAACGACGGTTTTCGTACTTGACCCATGGCTTTGTCTCGCATAAAAGTTCTTAAAATATCAGATCTGCAAAAGCTTGCTTCTGCTCGGGGGAGGAGAGAGATCAACCACAGGGCAAGGGATTAATTTTACAACTAATAAATCATATTATGACTCGTAAAATTGAGGACGTTTTATGCGCAGAAATATTTTCGGTCAGCATAGCTGTTATATCGAGCCAAACAGAAGCGAAAATAGGCAAGATAATCTTCCTTTCTATTTTATTTTTCAAGCTCAAACCACAATGAAGTAAGGCATGAGGGCGACTTGACGGGGCCATTAAAAACACGATGTTACTCGATTAAGCACGAATTGTTTACAATTTAGACAATTCTAGAGTCATTCAAGAGCCTCACTTAACGAGAGAATTAGTATTTACAGAGGAAGGACCTGATTGATATTAAAAGCAGCCGAAAAGTTTCGCTCCAATTCTTTCAAAGAAAAAATGAATTCCAAAAAGTTTTATTTAATTGAACTTCGGGATTCTTGTTTGCCCTGTAACAGAAAGTACTTGCTCATTTAGTTTTTTTTCATTTTTTATTTTTTTTTTGGACGAATCAATTGTTATTTCTGTTTATTTATTTAGACAAGAGAAGCATTGAATACGTTTTAACCTGGACACAAAAACTAGATATTACATGGGATAATAGAGGGTACGCCTTCTAGCCGCTGCGCGGTCCAACCCCCGTGTCTCGCGCCCTCTAATGCCAGTACTACGGGCCCCTGTGAGGGAATAAAAATGGAGCGGGCTTATCCAGAGACTGCCTTTTATCGAAATCCGCAAAAACATGAAAATCGACCCGGTATACCTTTAGCACGAACTCTGACAAAAAATAAACATTTACATCGCTTACAAGGGAGACTTTACAACTTTAGCACCTAACATTAAAAAATCTGGGTCATATTCCAAAAATCTGAATAAAACGGGCTCATCTAGGGACTATCACGACTATCGCTTACAGATGGCCTGAAAAATCATGAAAAGTAGGCCAATAGAACGGAGGAAAAAATGGCCACAAATGATAATTGAGAGGGCCAGAGAGCTTACAGCAATGATCCCCTGTGAAAAAAACTTCCTGGGTGTTCCAAAAAAATTCCAGATGCTTAAAGAGAGTGAGAAAGTTACTATTATTGTATTTGCACAACAACTAAGCACATTTTCAGTTGTTGTAAATACAATTCCAGGTTTTACAAAAATTTACAAGGAATTCTTTTCCAGTAAATATCTAACGGAGAATCTTTACGGTGTAAAACCTCCTTACTGCGACTGTTAAGGGTACCAGTTTTGTTAAAAGCGCACGAGTCGCGGTATTCTATTAAATATTATTGCGGAAAATAAGATTTATGTATTGTTTTCAAGAAGGTTGCGACTATTTTAATAGTTTTGTTCATGTTATTTTATACGCTTTCGTTTGTGCGACTATTGAATGACAGGGGAGAGTGCAGAGTATGTATGCATGAAAACGGCATGGTAGAAGTTTGTTGGACATGGAGCAGTGAAGAAGATTGGAGCTTGAAAACTGTGGACACCACGGCGCCTGCTGTTTATGCTGCTCGATGATGATGTCCACATGTGCATGATGTGTTGCCTACCTGCAAACTGAAGGCGTTTCAGCGGCGAGAGCCAGAACTCGAATACTGGGACCGTGTCAATCGTGTCATGCAACTTGCCGTAAAAACCGAGATCACACATTGAAAATCCGAGCTATAGGTAAAAAAAAAGAGTGTTTCCTTGCTCGTACATGACATCTGATACGAATGCACAATGACATAGCCCGAAAAGAGAACCATGAAAGAATGAAACTCAAAAACATGGGCAAAAAAGCTAAATATTCAAAAACCTCATAGACGGGTCTAGATGTTCTGCCTTTTCAGAGTTATTAATTTTTTAAACTTGTTCCATCCATTTCTTGGTTTTACTTCTTTATAAACACTGACCAGCTCTCATGTCTTCGAACAATCTTAGCCGGACAGATAGCGGGGGAAAATGATAAAAGGACATTCTTTTTGTGTGTTATGTTGCGCTTTGAATCGAAAATACAGTTCAAAGTACTAAATTCTCGTGTAATTGAGGGGCTTGGAGGACAGGGCGCATGAGTGCAGTTTTTGCTATTTCGAGAAATATTTGTTTGAAGTTTCGAAATTACATGGATCCTTATGGCGGAAAGAAGGTCTAAACTGACTTTTTGATGCTTAAAAATTAGAACTTATTGACGAATTTTTTTACAGAACATGTATTAAAACCAGTTTTACTTGCAATCATTAATATCTCAATTATTTCAAAAACTGCACTTATGCGCCTTGCCCTCCAAGCCCCTTAATCGGAAGTTCAGCTTCTTCTTACCTTTTCTATCGGTGGTTGCATACTTGGAGTTACTTAGGTCTTGTAATAGGGTGTCTAATTCAGAGAGGTTGTTGTTTAGTGAGGTAGTCATTTTGTTGTTGCTGCTAGGGGAGTTATTGATGTTTGATGAATTTTTCTTGTTGAAAACTATTTCATTGGAGTACGTGGGCTGGAACAAATAAAAGAATAGGACTCATGTAAAATTCGAAGGAAGAAAGAAATCATCTGTTACAGCAACAAATTAAAATATTGGACATCTTCAACAAAAACCTCCTCACAAATAAATTGATGCTTAGTCAAAAAATCTCCTTCTGTTTAATAAAGATAAAAAAGTACAACATGAACGGTCCAAAATTCAAACTTCCTCATTGAGATTGCGACTTCCATAATAATCACTCTTTTTCAGTGGCTCGTTGAAACGCAATTTCCACAGTTCGTCGCAGAACATTTTTCCGCAATTTATTTTTGATTTGTGAAAGATATATTTTGCGATAAGAGTAAAAACGCTATTACTGGAGGGTTGTTCTATGAAAAAGGTCTG